CTTTTGCTTAGTTAGATTTTTTTTTCTGAGGGGAAGAACTTATTACTTCCTAACAATGAACAAAAAAACAATTGAGGAATAACACTGAACTAAGACAGCATGTTTTTCATAATCAGTCTTTGACAACAGCTTTCATGCGCAAAATATGTTTCCAATCATAGCGGCTCACTCAAAACGGTGTCACGATTCACCAGTTGTGAACCGCTGATATATATTACGCCTTCCAAACCGCTAGGGAAACACCAGTCCACTTAATATGGTAATATTATCCATCTACTTAAGCAGGGAAGATATTTTGCCTGCTGGGCGAATGTGTCATAACCGGGATAATGCTGAAACAGCAGACCTAAAGTCCGCAAAGTACCGGCCACGCAGTATAAAACACTGCATTTGCATGGACTGAGATTCTTTAGAGACCACCAGAGTCTTATTTTTGACAGTGCTTGTAAACTCCAAGAGCTTGTGAGCTAGAATTTAAACACAGACTGAGTTACATCTGGGCCTGTGTATTTGCATGCCACAGTGGGCAAAGGTTAAACCGTAGAGTTTGGTTAATTCATGTCCTGAGCCTCTCCATGATAGACAGCCTCTGTTCCCTGCCATTCTGACACATTTTGGCAAGCCGTTGTCATTGTTCGCAAGCTTGTGTGATATTTTTTTTGCAGAAAGCAACAACAATAAGCATTCTCAGTGGGCGTCATGATTATTTGCATAAGCATGACCTTAAATTAACCTCATCATGTGCTTAGTGATAGTAAAAAAAAAATCTGCAGTGGCATGTATGTGTCATGTCAACTCATTTACAAATGCACAGGATTGCAGGAGTTATCATAAACACATATTTATTTACAAAACCACACTTAAATTCAGGAACATGTAATACAGGCTTAACATCAAGGGTTGACACTTCAATACCGGACAAGGATTGAACAAAACACAGGCGCATAAATACACAGGACATGATTACACAAATCCCAAACATGGGTGATACAGCAGGTTTAACTCATGATCATTAGAAAACAGAGGGAAACAGAACAAAGGGGTCACCTGACATAAACACAAAGCACATGGGAAAACACAACACACACAACAGACATGACAAAATGAAACAGTTTTACACACTAATGTGGCTGATGGTAACTTTTTATTAATTCTACCAATGGCTGAGAGAGAACACAATGCTGTATGGCTTAGTGCAATTATCAATTCACAAAGATTATGTTATATTTATGATAATATGCAAACTGCATATTTTAACATCACATTTTAACATTGATCTTTTAACATGAGCAGCTCATGTTAACAGTTTTTTCAGTGTCTAAGTGCAGCTCAGTTAAGAGTAAAAATATATTATATATAAAGCCTAATATTACATCTATAAGTAGTAATTTAATAGTAATACACTTAAAAATGTTTGTTTTAATATGTTATGGTTGTATACTGGTATTCCACTGTATTACATTGACAGTCACAGCCATTTGAGTTCTGAATAAGCCAAATAGGCTCAACCCACCTGTTGACTGTAGTAAAAATCACTTTCTATATTCAAGTTTCCATGTATTAAATAAATAAACTGCCACTTTTCTAATTAAATGACACACACACACACACACACACACACACACATATATATATATATATATATATATATATATATATATATATATATATATATATATATATATATATATATATATATATATATAATATTACAGGCTAATTCACATATTTCAGGATTTGAATAATAATAATACTAATAAATAAGAAGTATTTTTTTAATACTAGACAACACTTGATGATTTAATCTCTGTCAGTGACTCAGTGACAGTTAAGTGTTTCTGTCACTGTGTTTAATCCTTTTTGTGCAAGCCTGTATAGTGTACTTAATGCTACATGGTAAAGTGTTTAATATTGGTAGTTCATTTTGAAATAAAAATAGCAAAATGTTCCTTAAGAGATAAATTTTTTGTAGGAAACAGTGCTGATGAGGTGAACGCCGAGAAAACATGACTGCTATACCATGACATTAGGATACAAGTGATAGGATACAAGGTTATCTATATCAAAGAACTGCAAATAAGCAGATATTTTAACAATTTATCGATAAACACACACCTTGGTCTCTCGCTGTCCATGGCTGTGGTTTGCTGATCAAACGATGGGGAGGAGGCGAATACTGCAGCTGTTTTCTTATCAAATTTAAAGGGATAATTTAGTGTACAGTTTATGAGCTTATCGTAAAAGTTTAAGGGGGGCTGAGTTGAAATATAGGGGGGCTACAGCCCCTCTAAAATAGGCCTAGCAACACCCATGGCGCTTGTAGAACTGGAAGTGAAAAAAACTATTATAATGCCCCTATTATGGACTACAAAACTTATATAGGATAGCCATTCATGGCAAAACAATTTCAGTCTTATAATGTGTATTTATGTTTACCTAATTATTCTAATTGACTCCTATATAATTTGTTCAGAGATTAACTTTTCCAAACCGCTCGTAAATTTCGTAAATGTCGTAAATTTCAAAAACTAAATTGTGGGCCTTAAAAAGTCTTCAATTCACTGAAATATTGTGCTGTAAATTAAGTTATTTAATTATTTTTAGCAGGTCTTAACTTTGCTTTGTCCAAGTAAAGCTACTCAATCGGGCCAACATTTATCCAATCACCAATCACTAACATATCACCAATATCTCAATAAAACTTTAAATATTCATTAAATTTCCTTCAACTAAATCCCTTATACAGTATATTAGGCATGGCCACAGTGGAATGAACCACCCTTAGTTTTTATATTTATGTTTTTTTTTATTGCAAACAGAAAAAAAATCTAAATTTGGAAGCAAATTTCCTATTAGATTCCCTAATCAGGGAAAGACAACTAAAAACCATATGATTCCTAATGTTAATACCGCCATTAGAAAAAGAAATCCTTGGTGTTTAACCCTATAAACATCTACATTTTTATTTTTAATGGTCTTTAAAGGGTATTGAAAGTCTTAAATTTGACCTGATGAAACTTGCAGAAACACCGCGATTGAAATTAAAGGCCCATCATCACCAATACTAGATTACGGAGCAAGTGTCGAATCAGCCAGTCATATATGTGTGAGCCCAATGCAGGAACGCATTGATAAAGCACTACAGATTGTACACCAGCGTATTGCTCTATTTTCTTTCTGGAAAACTATCTATTTAATTGTTAGTTACATTTTATTTATTTATTTTTTTTTAATGATACACTATGTTGGGTATACAGATATAAATAAATAAAAGCTGAGAATTATTTTTGCCAAAATGATGGCACTTTTACATTGTCTTATTAATGTTTTATATATATACAGTTAGGTCCATAAACATTTGGACATTGACACAATTCTAATATTTTTGGCTCTATACACCAACTAATACAACACCAACTGAAGCAACCAAAGAGTTTTTGAAGAGGAAAAAAGTTAAATGTTATGCAATAGCCAAGTAAGTGTCCTGATCTGAATTCGATTGAACATTTCACTTGCTGAAGACAAACCTGAAGGGAAAATGCCCCAAGAAGAAGCAGGAACTGACGACAGTTGTAGAGGCCAGGCAGAGCACCACCAGGAATGAAACCCAGCTTCTGGTGATGTCTATGCAATCCAGATTTCAGGCTGTAATTGACTGCAAAGGATTTGCAACCAAGTATTAAAAAGTGAAAGTTTGACTTTTGATTATTGTTCTGTCCAATTACTTTTGGTCCCCTAACAAGTGGGAGGTACAAATGCAAACTGTTGTAATTCCTAAAGCGTTCACCTGATTTGAATGTAAATATCCTCAAATTAAAGCTGACAGTCTGCAGTTAAAGCACATCTTGTTAGTTTCATTTCGTTTCATAGAGCCAAAAATGTTAGAATTGTGTCGATGTCCAAATATTTATGGACCTAACTATGTATATATGTATTAGGTATACCTGTGCAACTGCTCGTTAGCACAAATTTCTAATCAGCCAATCACATGGCAGCAACTCAATGCATTACGGCAAGTAGACATGGTCAAGACGGTCTTCTGCAGTTCAAACCAAGCATCAGAAGAAGGGTGTTTTAAGATTTAAGATACTTTGAACGTGGCATGGTTGTTGGTGCCAGACGGGCTGGTCTGAGTATTTCAGAAACCGATCCACTGGGATTTTCATGTACAACCATCTCAGAAAGCCATTCTGGGGGTCTAACCCGGTACTAGTAGCGTGTACCTAATAAAAAGGCTGGTGAGTGTGTGTATATATATATATATATATATATATATATATATATATATATATATATATATATATATATATATATATATATATATATATATATACAGTATATATATATCCAAAAAGCCAGAAATGTGATATATCAATATATATCGCTTCAAAAACTGTTTAAAAAAAGACAATTCCAGTTAAATAGCTTCACTTTTCAGATGTTTTAGCTGTTCCTAATTGAAAAATCACAAACTCATTTGTGTTTTCTCTCTCACACATCTCCAATGATCTTGTGTACTCATCCATGCATCCATACACACACACACAGCTCTTCACTCTTGCGTAATAGAATAACAGTGCAGTGCATGAGTCGTCCAGCAGCAGTTAGTCAATGCTAATCCAGTTAAAACACAAACCTGAATGGCTGCAGCTCTTGGTGTAAGGTGTCTGAGACTCTTAAGCTGGATACCTGCTCTCCTGATGGGATTCTCACTCCTGTAATCAGGTTTTTCTGCAATCGACCCCAGTCGTGATACAATTCAAGAGGCATTAGGCTCCTTTCTCAAATCCTCCAGCACCGTTTCCTTTAATGAGACTCAGAAGTTTAAGAGCTAAACCTTTTCAGCAGACACTTTCAGCACTTTTAGTTAGACCTGGCCACATCCAGTGTTATGTTGCAACTGATGTAGTTTCATAAGCCTAAATATGCAATTAAACCTCGAGGAAGTTCTTAGGAGCCGTTGTCAGGTTACTTATTGAAACTCCTCTTTTTTTTTTTAGGTGTTCTTGGGTAACTCGGGAGAGGTGAAGAACTACTCCAGTCTTCTCATCCAGTCTGGTTTGGCCATCAGCAGTGATTTACTACTGGATTCCAATCACAGACACATCTACATCATGACCAGCAATTCTGTGAGTGCAGAAGTCATCACATCAGTTCACTGCAGGAGGGAAAAAGATTAAGTGTCTTGTTTGTTAGTCTTGTACATGTGGATATAGGTCTTATACACATTTACTTTTTTGAAGATAGAGTAATATAGTAAATTTAGTACAATTGTAAAATGTGGCCCAGGATTAGGGCTGCTCGATTATGTGAAAAATCACAATCACGATTTTTTTGGTCATAATTGTATTCACGATTATTCAAAACGATTATCAGTTGAAGTCAAAATTATTCTTCCTCCTGTGAATTTATTTTTATATATAAATATTTCCCAAATTATGTTTAACAGAGGTTTTTTTTTTACAGTTTTTCCTATAATATTTTTTTCTTCTGGAGAAAGGCTTATTTGTTTTATTTCAGCTAGAATAAAAGCAGGTTTGAATATTTTGAAACCTATTTTAATAGCTTGATATATACGTTTGATTGTCTGCAGAAGAAACTACTGTTATACAATGACTTTTCTATTTACCCAAATTAAGCCTTTGAATGTCACTTTAAGCTGAGTACTTAAAAAACATCTAGTAAAATATAATGTACTGTCATCATAGCAAAGATAAAAGAAATCAGGTATTAGAAATGAGTTATTAAATCTGTTTTGTTTAAACTGCGCTTTAAGCATCTTCACTGTATTTTTGATTTTATTACTGATTAATAATAAAAAACAGTCGGCAGCAGCAGGAATACCGCACGCTGTCACTTTAAGAATAGTGCGGCTCTGATATGGTTTCTCTTTCTTGTGTCTTTTGATTCTCAACTTGTTTGTTTATTAAACAAATGAGGGTTAATATGAATAATCACTAAACACCGCGCTCTGACACAAGTGTGCATGTATTTCACCATTAAAGCGCTCACATTAGGATCGCGTTAGATGTGTGTGTGCTCTGCTGTCCAGGCTAAGCGCCGCGCGCGCAAACACACACACGCTACTTGTCCAAGGCTAGGCACGGCGCACACACACACAACAGCACGTGCTCTTTTGCGCTTTTAAAAATATGAATGATGCGCATCCCGTGCTGCAAAAGTTACATTACAGCACATGCTTTTAGTCATTTTCACGTGGAACTGAGCTTTGCAGAGGCAAAGAGTTTTCACACGTGTACAACTGGAAAGGGGGCGGTACGTGATGGAATAATCGTTTATCTCGATTAATGGCTTTTCATAATCGTTACAAGCCAAAATCGAAATCGGATTTTCGATTAATTGCACAGCCCTACCCAGGATCACAGGTGATAAGTGTTAAAATGAAGATTAAGATAATATATATATTAAATATGTTTATTAGGGCTAAACAATACTGGAAATTGGAAACAGTATTGGAAAAATCTGACATTGCAATATTGCAAACATTGACATTTCTAACAGTCACTACTTTATTTATTTATTTTTTTTTTGTCTATGGAGATTAGAAAAATCCGTCCTGTGATTTTTGTCCAATCAAATCACACACAGAAGGTAATTCGCATCTTAATGAACTACCTGAAGACATGGGCGATTTATAATTGCAGCAAACTGTTTGGAAGCACTAAAATGTTAAGTGACATATTAGCCCCTTTCACACATACAGACCTTTCCGGAAAATTACCGGCAATTTTCCGGAAAGGTTGTATGTGTGAACAGGTCCTTTTTGAAAATACCGGTAAATTCGTTCTGGCTATTTTCTGGAAAGAGAAGTTGTAACATTACCGGTAATTTGCCGGAATGCTGCGCTGTGTGAACGCAGAAGGAAGATTTCCGGAATAAGCGTGTGCACGTCTAGAACGGGCTGACGTGAGACACCTGCTTTAGCCAATCACAACAGTCAGACGCATTCACGTGCGCGCGGTTTATGAGAATAAAAGCCTTTGAATATTTTTTCCAGACACCTTTAGCTGCTAGATGTTAGTCAGATAATGTTTCTATGTTCCTTCTTAATGCTGTGTAAATAATTATCGATAAAATGTTTATGATAATCCGTTGTTTGTTTACCTTCAAGTTTTGCGTGTGCCCGTGAGCGCCCATAGCGCCAGCACAAACACATATCATGAACATCTCGACATGCGAAAGTGTTTCCCTATGTTTTCATTAGTTGTACTCAATACTGATCCATTCGAAGAGTTTGTAATGTAGTCAAATGTTTACAAACACAAGCGCAGCCGTTTAGAGGTCATTTCTGGTTAATGATGTCAGAATTTACCGGCATTTTGCGATGGATGTGTGAATGCTCTTTTCCGGAAAAATTCCGTAACGTCCTCGCCTGTGTGAACAGCGTTTTTTTTAATATACCGGTAAAGTAGTTCCGGAAATTTTCCGGATATTTACCGGTATCACTGTGTGAAAGGGGCTATTGTCTGGGTTATTGTTGTAAACTACACTACAAAAACCTTGTAATAAACTTCCAGTACATTTTCTGTTATTATACAGACTTCTTTCTCTATATATTATTCCTTATACATTGTATTATTTCAGACTACTAAAATATCAAGAAAAGCCACTTTGTTAAACATCAACATCCCATATTATAATTCACAACCTAAAAAGGATTTATTAACAGATAATTTTACAGTGTACAGATTGCATTGCTATTAAGTTAGCTTAACACTTATTAAATATACATTAGAATCATACTGCAAAAATTGTCAGTTTTCCACTTAGAATCAAAATGAGTGAGTGTTTTGTTCTGCTGTGTGGTGTGTGATTAGGTGGAGAAGAGGCCTGTGGCAGAGTGTGACACACACACGGACTGCTCGTCCTGTCTTTCGGTGAAGGATCCGTACTGCGGCTGGTGTGTGCTGGACGGCCGGTAAGTCTCTACACTGTAGTGTTGAATGTATTTTTATACTGAGTTTTCTGACTGTGTGTCTGTTCACTCCTTCAGCTGTGGGATGCGTTCAGACTGTCGGCTGGGCTCGGTTGAAGGTCATTGGCTGTGGAGTTTTGATGAACAGCAGCAGTGCTTGAGCGTCCAGTCTCTGAGTCAATATAACGCCAGCCTTGGAGAACAGAAACGGGTAGAATATCCTCCAAAATATTACAAAATCCATTGATTACAAATCCTAGAATTGGGTATATGCTGAGCTAGTTTTTCTTCCCATACTGATAAACTTCCAGTGAACGGTTAATGTGACTTTTTTCCATTTTATACAGTTCCTTTTACAGCACTTGTGTTGTAATGTAATTGAAATACAATCAGTTAAATTGACTTTGGCATTCATTTAGTTGCTCAAGAGTAAAATGAGACAAAAAGCCATTTACTCGCATGCGCTCGTCAGGATCGACAGGCTAGCGCAGAAGCTCCATGGAATATACTAGGGTAAAATAAATGTTCACATTTTAAAGACATAATGAGGAAAATTGTAATATAATGCAGTGCTTCTTGTACAATCTGAGACCTTTTTTATATCGGAAATCACGCCAGTGGAGATGGCTGATTTTTAAAGAAAATGGACTTTAAACGCGCTGATTTTGCAAATGACATACAGTTCAACAGAAGCGCTTACCCCAGATAACTAATAAATTAAAAGTCCTTTAACATTTTTCTGCATAAACCCTATATGTCATTATATTATATTTTAGAAGGAGATAGTAGATTCTGTTCATCAACCTTTTACTTGAAGGGGTGTTCATTAGACTTTCATAGACAACATACCATGTCATAAATCTGGCATAAACATGATTGTCAAGAAGCCTTTGTAACTCTGTCATGAATATATTTCTGAACATGTTTACAGTGGAACAAACTGTATTTGTCATTGAATTGCCTTGTAAAAAGTGTCATTAATTTGACAAATAATTTTTAAACAGCGTCATTAATATTTAATGACATTTTAATGACTAATTTAGCTTGTATAACGTTCGAGGTTACTAAAGTAATCCTTCGTTCCCCGAGGAGGGGAACGGAAGCACTATAAGTGGATTTGATGTTAAAATCCACGTATGGGAGGTTCGGTTCACAAGCTACTCGTCTGAAAGAGTATTGAACGGGCCAATTAAGAATGAATTGGCAGCGCAAGCCTGCGCAGGTGTGCGGCATATGCAATCAACTGAGTATATAAGCACGCCTGGCGCCAGCAGACGCTATCCTTTTAAAGCTGAAGAGACTTTTAACAGCTAAGGGACAGTCATTATGGCGACGGAGTATAGTGCTTCCGTTCCCCTCCTCGGGGAACGAAGGGTTACTTTAGTAACCTCGAACGTTCCCCTTCGGGGGGAACTCCAGCACTATAAGTGGATTTGATGTTAAAATCCACATATGGGAGCCCATTGAAAGCGCCATAATGACTGCACCTTACCAACACCCACCATGAGAGAGCGGTCAGGCAAGCGTGACACACCCAGATCATGAGAGGCGTGGTCCTCCAACGTGCCCTTGGCCCTAACTTATCCCACTTCAAAAGAAGTTTTACGGAATAGGTATATTTTTTGGGAGTCGCTAGCGTCTAGATAATTCTAGGAAATACGACAGTACGTTGGGAAGCGTGCCATCCCAGTAGGGAGGACGCTGTGGAGACCATCCGCACCCAATAGGGGGAACAAACGGAATTACATATGGACTAACCCTGAAAAGGGGGAGTGCGCATAAAGGTGGTTATCAGATAGGGAAAGCACGGGTCCGCCCAGGGGGGGAACTTAACCGTGGCGGAAAAGCATATGGGGATCACCAGCGGGGATCGGCCATAGCAGGCACCTATACCCAAAACGCGGGCTGACCAGCGGGCAGACCTACTACGTAATGGGCCAGCAAGTGACTCCTCCGCTGAGTCAGTGCTGGGGGCCTCGGAGGAATCTGCAGGGCTCACCGAATGGGGAACTTTACTGACAGACAGGAGGGTGCACATCTCTCCGTGTTAGGGAAAAAAGGCACCGCAAGCGTGTACAACACCTACCGAGTTGTTTCCTCAATCACCAAAGGTAACCTAACACCCTTGTGGAAACCGGCTCCACTCGCAGATTATAAATCTTGCAAATGTGTTGGGTGTCGCCCAGCCCGCAGCTCTACAAATGTCTGTTAAAGAAGCGCCACGCGCACACGCCCAAGAGGATGCAACGCTCTGCTCAAATAAGCACATGAAATAGCCTCCACAATCCAGTGGGATAAACGTTGTTTAGACACGGCACTTCCCTGCTGCCGTCCGCCATAACAGACAAAGAGCTGCTCAGAAGATCTAAAGTTCTGAGTACGGTCCACATAAATGCGCAGAGCGCGAACTGGACAAAGTAAGGACAGGGCTGGGTCTGCCTCCTCCGGGGGCAGCGCTTGCAGGGTTACCACCTGATCTCTAAAGGGAGTGGTAGGAACTTTGGGCACATAACCCGGGCAGGGTCTCAGGATAACGTGAGAAAATCCCGGCCCGAATTCCAGGCACGAGTCACTGACCGAAAATGCCTCCAGGTCCCCGACCCTCTTGATGGAGGCCAACGCGACCAGCAAAGCTGTCTTCAGGGACAGAAATCTTAAAGATACTGTATCGAGTGGCTCGAAGGGATCAAATCGCAGGCTCGTGAGAACTAGGGCGAGATCCCAAGAGGGCGCGAGAGGGGGGCGAGTTGGATTAATTCGCCTAGCGCCTCTGAGGAACCGGATGATGAGGTTATGATTTCCCACGGTGCCGCCAGCCACCGCGTCATGGAGAGCGGAGATGGCAGCAACGTAAACCTTTAGAGTGGAGGGCGACAGCCTACTGTCCAGCTTCTCTTGAAGGAAAGAGAGCACAACACTGATCTGGCAAGATCGGGGGTCTTCTCTGCGAGAGACACACCACTCAGTGAATAGACTCCACTTCAGGGCGTAGGCGCGCCTCGTAGAGGGGGCTCTAGCCTGAGTGATGGTATCAACCACCGCTGGCGGCAGGTTACCTAAGTCTTCCTCGTGTCTATGGACCACACGTGGAGGTTCCAGAGATCGGGACGAGGGTGCCAGACGGTGCCTTGTCCCTGAGAAAGTAGGTCCTCTCTCAAAGGGATCTGCCAAGGGAGGGCCGTCGCGAGGAGGGAGAGCTCTGATATCCAGGTCCGGTTGGGCCAGAGGGGCGCAACTAACAAAACCTGCTCCTCGTCCTCCCTGACCTTGCACATTAACTGCGCGATCAGGCTCACTGGGGGAAACGCATACTTGCGTATGCCCCGAGGCCAGCTGTGGGCCAGTGCATCCGTGCCGAGAGAGCCCTCGGTCAGGGAATAAAATGACTGGCAATGAGCGTTCTCGGGGGAAGCAAACAGATCGATCTGGGCCTCCCCGAATCGCGCCCATATCAGCTGGACAGACTCAGGGTGGAGTCTCCATTCTTCAGAGTGAATCTGCTGCCGTGAGAGCACATCGGCTGCACGGTTGAGCATACCTGGGATGTGAATGGCGCGCAGCGACTTCAGCCGCGGGTGACTCCAGAGGAGCAGACGGCGGGCGAGCTGAGACATGCGGCGAGAGCGCATACCCCCCATGCGGTTGATATACGCCGCCGCCGTACTGTCCGTCCTGACCAGCACGTGTTGCTGCTCCAGCGCCGGAAAAAAACGGCGGAGAGCAAGGAACACTGCCAACAGCTCTAGGCGATTGATGTGCCAATGCAGCTGGGCACCTACCCACAGGCCCGCAGCTGCATGCCCGCGACACAGGGCCCCCCAGCCTGTGCTGGAAGCATCTGTCGAAACAACAACATGACTGGACGCCTGTCCCAGAGGCACACCGGCCTGCAGGAACGAGGGGTCGTTCCAGGGGCTGAGGGTGCGGCGACACAGCGCAGTAACAGAGACTCGGTGTGTGCCCGCATGCCATGCGCGTCTCGGAACTCGATCTTGAAGCCAGTGCTGAAGTGGTCTCATATGGAGCAATCCGAGCGGCGTGACAGCCGCAGCGGAAGCTATATGCCCCAGGAGCCTCTGAAATATTTCAGTGGGACCACTAACTTGCTGTCGAGCTCCCTCAGACAGTTCAGCAGCAGGCGAGCGCGCTCTCCGGAGAGGCGCGCTACCATGGTGACCGAGTCCAGCTCCATCCCGAGAAAAGAGATCCTCTGCACCGGGGCGAGTTTGCTCTTTTCCCAGTTGACCTGCAACCTCAGTAGGCGGAGATGCCGGAGCACCTCGTCTCTGTGCGCAGTCAATTGCTCCCGAGAGTGGGCTAAAATCAGCCAGTCGTCGAGATAATTGAGTACGCGGATGCCCGCAAGCCGCAGAGGCGCTAGGGCACCCTCCGCGAGTTTGGTGAAGACCCGCGGAGACAGAGAGAGCCCGAAGGGGAGGACCTTGTACTGCCATGCTCGACCTTCGAACACAAACCGCAGAACTGACGGTGGCGTGGAAGAATGGAGACATGAAAATACGCGTCCTTCAGGTCTATGGCTGCAAACCAATCCTGAGGACGAACGCATCGGAGGATGCGCCTCTGCGTAAGCATTCTGAATGACAGCTTGTGAAGGCAGCGGTTCAAAACGCGCAGATCTAGGATTGGCCGTGACCCACCGCTCTTTTTGGGTACGATGAAGTACGGGCTGTAAAACCCGCTCTCCATCTCGGCTGGAGGTACCGGCTCGATTGCACCCTTCGCCAGGAGGGCAGCAATCTCCTCTCGCAAGACAGGGGCGGACAGGGGATTGACCCTGGTGAAATACACGCCCGTGAACCTGGGAGGCCGTTTGGAGAACTGTAGTTCGTAGCCGAGTCTGATCGTGCGTATGAGCCACCGTGAGGGGCTGGCCCGCGCTAACCAGGCAGGCAGAGCCCTCGCTAATGACGTCATCGCAGCAATCGTTGACGTACCCGCGGAGGGGCAGCGAGGAGCGGGTGTGCTGATCCGGGGAGCGCGAGGGTCCCACAGAAGAGCTGGAGGAGAGCGTTTCGCTCTGGCTCCGCACCCTGACTCCTGAGAGGGGGCTTGGGGGCTGGGAGAAGGGAGACCGGAGAAGGGAAGACTCCTCTTCTCCGGATGGCCTGTCTCAGGGACGCTTCGCGGTCCGTTTACCGGACTTAGCGGCGCCCTGGGCAGGAGGGGCTACCGGCTTTCGGCGTGCTCGGGCGGGGCAACGGCCGTTGGCGGGCGCCCTCGGCGAGGAGCAGCGGAGGTGGATGGCTCGGCCGGGGATGGAGCGGGCTTACGGCCCCGCCGATAGATGACTTTGCCCATCGCATCCGACTGCTCCTTCACCGCCTTGAACTCCTGGGTGAATTCACCGACGGTGTCGCCGAACAGGCCAGCCTGGGATATGGGCGCGTCAAGAAAGCGAACTTTGTCGACATCGCGCATATCTGCCAGGTTTAGCCAGAGGTGGCGTTCCTGGACCACAAGTGTGGACATCGTCCTCCCCAGTGCGCAGGCGGCGGACTTAGTGGTCCGGAGAGCATATTCGGTCGCCGTACGCAGCTCGTGTAACAAGCCTGGGTTAGACCCACCCTCGTGCAGCTCGCCCTGCGCTTGGTAGCGCTGGTAGGTGGCCATCGCATGCAAGGCGGAAGCTGCCTGGCCCGCAGCCTTGTAAGCTCTAGCTCCGAGGGAGGCAGAAAACTTACAGGCTTTGGACGGGAGACGGGGCGGACCACGCAAAGCGGGGGCGCCACGCGGACAAAGATTGACCGCAATGGCGCGCTCCACCTGCGGGATCGCCTCATACCCCCTGGCAGCTCCACCATCCAGGGTGGTGAGGGCGGAGGCGGACGCAGCGCGGGCAGAGAAAGGTGCCCTCCAGGACTGCGTGAGTCTACTGTGCACTTCCGGGAAGAAGGGGATGAGAGGCTTCGAAGGCTTCACCTTCTGATCCTCTACGTAACACCCATCTAGTCGGTCCGGCCGCGGGGCTGGGGGATGAACCATCTCCAACCCGACGGCCGAAGCAGCCCGAGAAAGCACGGCCAACATGTCCGTTTCAGAATCCGTTTGACGGCGCTCGCTTGCCCAGAGGGGGCGAGCGGGTCCGGATCATCGTCGGACAATGAAAGCCCACCCTCCGATGCCGCGGAGGACATCTGATCTCCGGTGTCAGCGAGCGTGAGAGCTACCATCTGATTAGACGGATCCCTCCCAGTACCCGAAGCTTGGATGGAGCGCTTGGAGGAGCGAGAGGTCCGCGAGACCTTGGGCGGCGGATGATTGTCTCTCGCTGAAGCCCTCAGATCTGCCCGAGCGCCCGCTGCAGAGCAGGAGGCAACTGGGGTGGCTCGCTCTCTTACGAAAGCTAACCGCGATCTCAACTGCGCAACGGTCATGGCATCGCAGTGACGACATAAACCGCCCCCGAGCACCACATTAACATGCTGGACCCCCAAACATGTAATGCAGTGATCGTGTCCATCATCCGGAGCCAGGAAACCCCCGCAATCAGAAACGCACAGTCGGAGCGCCATCCTGAAAAGGACGTGCTGCACGACTGTGTTGCTCTTTTAGGATTTGCAACAATACGCACCGCTTTTGGAGGACCGGACCCAAAGGGACGCCAGGCAAGGGAGAAACCCAGCTCGACCGTCTGCCGCTGCGTGGACTCGCTCTGGACCGGGATGCAATCGTTCTCTCGAAAAGGCTGTAGATCAGCAGGAGGAACCCTCATAAGCTCGATCAGAAAAGGCTCTGAAGCGAAAAAGGATAGCGTCTGCTGGCGCCAGGCGTGCTTATATACTCAGTTGATTGCATATGCCGAACACCTGCGCAGGCTTGCGCTGCCAATTCATTCTTAATTGGCCCGTTCAATACTCTTTCAGACGAGTAGCTTCTGAACCGAACCTCCCATACGTGGATTTTAACATCAAATCCACTTATAGTGCTGGAGTTCCCCCCGAAGGGAAACTGTAGTTGAGATTAAAAAAAAACTATATTAATGACATTGTTAAAAAATTCATGACATATTTAAAAAGGCTTCATGAATAAAATGACAAGTTTTGTTGTCTTGGTAATTTGTTTGAGAAAGTAAGTTGTCATGAGAAAGACAAAAAAGAAGTTGTGATGTATTTGTTTAATGTCACTTTGTCATAACCAAAAAGGCCATCTTTTCATTTAAAAAATGGCTGTGATTTCAACGGTAAAAAAACTGTAAGAATGCTACAGTAAATATCCATAACCTGGTTAACAGTTTGTTTCCTTAATATATTCGGCAAATAACCGTAAACTGACTTTCCCAGAATTCCCTGCATGCCCCATCATTTTTTATGCTTTTTGTTGTTAATAATATGGTTCTTTTTAGTTGTTTCCCCATCAGTTATGTACATTAGAGATTTATATTACATCTAATGTTGATAAACAATGTTTATTTCATGACTTTAATTTTATGTGTGTTACCATACTGGTGTTTAATAGCTGTGTGAATGAGACTGAGCACCCTCTATACACTGATAATCTTTTCTGTTGTGGGAAAAGTTGTTTGTGATGAGCATTGGTTTATTATGTAAGTTTCTCATCACCAACTGCATATTGCTGTTTTGATGTTTCTATATGTGTAACAAAAGTTATTTAGATGTTGGTAATTCAAAATACAGACATATTACATCTATAAATTAATGAAATATGGTAGTATACTGTAAAATAAGAGAAATTATGTTTGCGGTTTGTACCGTATTTTTCACAGCTGCCGTTTTTTTACCATACATTTTACAGATTTTTTTACAGTGTGAGCACTTAATGACTGTTGTTAAAAACATGCATAAAATCTTATTCACATTCATGACATGTGCCATGTCATGATTATAAAGGTTTAATGACACCCCTTATAAACATCCCTTCAAGTAAATTGTTAACAAAGCACTTAATATGATGATTTTAAACTATTATTATTATTGATGTTTTAAACAGTTGTTAATCTTTTTTTTTACATGGGCCAGAAATATTTTTTCTAGGAGATACAGTAATATAGTAAATACAACTTCAACTGTTTAGATGTATATTTTGTTTCTGATTCATCAATTTTTAATGTAAATACTTAGCTGCAAATCTATTCTGAATGACTATGAGAATAACCATCATTAATAATTTATCTCCAATAATAATTTAGCATGAAGTGAGCGTCACCTCAGCATATTATAATGATTTCTGAGAGATCACATGACACTGAAGACTGGAGTAATGTGGTGGAAAATTATGCTTTGAACTTGATGTACATATTTAATATGTTAAAATAGAAAACAGTTATTTTGAATAGTTTATTTAAAGCAAAATATTATAGATTAAACAGAAGTTAACTTCATTAAATCAAAAGCAGCATTGTTTAAAATAGAAATATTTTGTAACTTAAATATAAATGTATAAATAATTAATTAATTTTCTTTTCGGCTTAGTCTCTTTATTAATCTGGGGTAGCCACAGCGGAATGAACCACCAACTTATCCAGCATATGTTTGACGCAGCAGATGCCCTTCCAGCTGAAACCCATCTCTGAGAAACATCCATACACACTCATTTACACTTATACACAACAGATAATTTAGCCCAATTCACTTGTACTGCATGTCTTTGGACTGTGGGGGAAACCGGAGCACCTGGAGGAAACCAATGCGAACACGGGGAGAACATGCAAACTCCACACAGAAACGCCAACTGACCCAGCCAAGGCTCGAACCAGCAACCTTCTTGCTGTGAGGCGACAGCACTACCTACTGCACTGCTTAATATTCTGCTGATTATGATGAATAATCATTTACTCTCTTATGTTGTGGGAACTAAAAGTGTTTGGTTATCGATATTCTTCAAAAACCAAAAAGAAATCATAAATCTGCAATAAATGATGTTTGAATATGATTTTGTGGTGAAATTACCCTTTAAAAATCTTATTAACAAAAAAAAGAAAAAAAACACAATTTATTATATATATTTTTTTATCTGGAAGATGTTTAAATCAGTGTATTTTATTAAATTATACATATTTATATTAATTAAAATAAAAAGTTGGTCACCAAACAACATTAGGAATAAAAAGCTAATATACATTTAAAATCAAATGAGGCATTGCAGCATTAACAACAAAAACTACAAAATGTTCTATTATTTTAGGTTTCTCTCAATTTTTTCCTTTTAATTAAGATATTTAATTTAATATTTTAATTATAAATATGTTAATAATAAATATGTTTCCCTAACACATTCATTTAGGTGTAGTTTCCAACTCCGTCTTTAGTTGAGATGTTAAACCGAGGTCCTGACTCTCTGTGGTCATTAAAAATCCCATAGCACTTCTCATAAGAGTAGGGTTGTAACCCCGGTGTCCTGGCCAAAGTCCCTCAATCGGCCCTTACGATTATGACCTCCTAATCATCCCCATGCACCGAAATGGCTCTTTCACTCTCTGTCCACTGCCACAATAGCTGGTGTGTGGTGAGCGCACTGGTGCTGTTGTCTTGTGGCTGCTGTTGCATCATCCAAGTGGATGCTGCACACTGGTGGTGGTCTGGAGAGAGTCCCCTTATGATTGTGAAGTGCTTTGGGTGTGTGACCATACACAATAAATGCGCTATATAAATACACTCATTACATTACTCTTTTTGGGGTCTTTTTAAATTCATTTATGCTGAGTACTGAACATAAATGTATGGTTGATGTTGGTTGATGTATAAAATATTGAAACATTTTTAATCATGACAGAATGTGACACAAAAGGCATCCAAAGCTGCAAATGATGGAATCAAACATTTCGTTTCTTTGTGTTGTCAGTTAGCATATGGTTAGCAAGCTACAGTTAGTCTCTAATTAGTCTCAAAGCTAGCCGACGCTGTCACTGCAATCCCTAATGGGATAATTCACACATCAGCTTGATGTTTCTGATGCCTAAAAGCTTTTCCCCCAATCACTGTAATTCTCATTGAGCTATTCCCCAGGGCCTGCTTTCCTACTAAAATTAACAAAGCTGTAAATCTAATCAAAATAAGACTGTTTTTGTAATGCAGGAGAGTGATCGTGAGACTGACATGTCTGTCTGTGTGTTTGTTTATAGATTACTGTGGATGTCCCGGGTTTGCCCAGTCTGTCAGAGGGTGACAGGTATTCCTGTTTTTTTGAAGACGCTGAAACAGCTGCTTTAGTCCAGGGCACAACAGTCACCTGTGACACTCCTGAGGCCCACAGACTTCAGCCTCTACCACAGGGAAACGGTAACACAACACACACACACAAATACTTGTATATGTAGTTTATGGACTTTCCATAAGCGTAAAGCAGTAAAAAACACTTATTATATGGCTATACCTCACCCCTACCCCTAAACCCAACCATCACATGAAACCTGTGGCAAAATTTGATTATCAAAAGACCCAGATAAGTATGATTTTTAGGTGTTTTGGATTACAAGAATATAACACATGTCCTTGTAAACCACCTTAATAGAGTAAAATTACACACACACACACACTAGAGCTGCATGCTATTGGAAAGAATCTAACATTGCGATATTTTGGTATTCTGCAATATATATCGTATGTTATTCTGCGATATGAATACAATTCCACCAGATGACTTGAATATGTGTATTCGGAAAGAGTTGGTCATATTAGATTGATTTGGCATGATTCTGCAGTAGGAGTGCATCTGCATAAAATCTTATAAACAATCTATAAATGCACTAAAGAAAAATATACAATTGAAATAAACAGTGTTTTATCCGTTTCCAAGTCTAACAGTATTTAGGTACAGTAATTAAATAATAAAGATGCAATCAATTCAATAAAATCAATCATTATTAAAGTTACAAACGGTTACATTTCTTATCCCCAAGTGCTTTTGAAATCATTATACAGTCACTGTTCTTAAAAAAACATGCAAATAATAAAATATAATACAAACTAGGGATGCATGACAATCGGCAGCCATATCGTTATCGGCCGATAAATGCTATTTTTAAGATTATCGCTATGATCCGATGTCTAAATTGGGCTGATATCTTTAAGCCGATTAATTATGTAATTGTACATAACTGCCTGCCTCACGCATGCGTGGGTGGAACTTGTTCAGACTTGTCCTGTGCACTATAATAGATCGCTTCTGACATTGTTTATTTCTTCAAAGTCTGTCCTTTCTTTACGGGTATTGCTGTGCGTTTATTATTATTAGTAGTAACCATGTTCCTTATCATTGTAGATGTGTTTAATTGAGTGCCATTGTGTATTTTGGTTTAAATCACCTCGGAAAAAAATTATTACACGTGTAAACATAGCAGCAGTGCACACATGCTATACAACTAGTTGGTTTGTTAGTAATCTAATATGATTGTTATTATCAACGCATTGCTTGCCATGTGTTGTTGTTGTAAGATTGTATTTAGTTTGATCAGAATATTCATAGCCACACACACACACACACATACACTGATCTGACAGCCTTCACCCAAGCACGGGGAGAGGTGCGCCCTCAACTCGCCGCCACAGTCTGTCTTTATGTTATGTTCTGTGTTTGTCATAAAGTTATCTGCTCAACTCTCAGGTTTGTATCAAAATCTGACTCCGAGGGCAAATCTGCACCTGCAGTTGAGTGAAACTCACAGCGGTTTATCATAAACTTTTCATCGGTCATTTTTCCCGCAATTGACAACAACGACAAACATAGAAGCATATGTATAATAATATTTTTTTATTCCCACAGTACTAAAAGAAATAAGCTTTTCTACATAAGAAAAATATTATACTGTGAAAAACGTCCTTGCTCTGTTTAACATCTCTTGGAAAATATTTGTAAAAAACCTTTTAAAAGCACTAATAATTTTGTCTTAAATGTCACAATACCAAATATTATGATATTAGAAAACTAATTTAATGTAAATATATTAGAATAATATAATTGAGTGTATTTTTGAGAGAACAGAGACTCTGCAAGACTGTAGACTTAGGGTATCTGCTGGGTCTTAAAAACTAAATTTTAGGTCTTAAAAAGTCTTAAATTCACTGAAATATCGTGTTGTAGGTCTTAAATTATTTTAAACAGGTCTTGATTTTGCTTTGTCTAAGTACAGCTAATCAATCAGGCCAACATTTATCCAATCAATTTATTCAACAATACATGTCAATAAAACCTTATTTATCATTCATTCATTCATTCATTTTCTTTTGGTGTAGTTCCTTACTTATCAGGGGTTGCCACAGTGCAATGAACCGCTTCTTATTTTTTATAGCTAAGTTTTTTATTGCAAAGAGATACACTTCACAATTTTAAAGCATATTTTCCATTAAATTCCCTATTCCATATGATTCCTTATGAAAATACCAGGCCATTAGAAAAGAAATCCTTGGTGCTTAACCCTGTAGAAGTCTAAATTTTTATTCTTAATGGTCTTAAAAGGGTCTTAAAAGTCTTAAATTTGACTTGATGAAACCTGCAGAAACACTGCTTCTGTAATGCTGTAATATCCGGTTTCACTGACCTCCTCCTGCTGGTTTTCCACACCATTACTCTCTCTCTCGGAGTCCAAATGTTAATGATGTTACATGACTGTTGAAATAAGCTGTGGGTGGTGGGTTAACTATTAAAGTTTTAAGTGACGTGACATTCCATTTCCGTAATGTCCGCTTAGCGTTTTGACCCTGTATTCTCTTGTAAACAGATTCAGTGTCTGTCATGCTGTCTCTGCGCTTCGGGACGGTCACTGTAGCACTGGCCGGCTTCACCTTCTACGACTGCTCTGTGGTGCAGCAGCTCTCTGCCAGCATGCCGTAAGTCACATCAATTACACACGAATAAAACAATCTCAAAAACACAGTCCAATTACAGTGTAGTTTTTTTATTTTTTATAATAAAAAATCTTCTTAAATTCAAACACATTTATGTCATTTCAAACCTAAGACACTTGAAGTTTTGATAACAATTTCTCTGAAGATCGTCCTTATAATGAATTATAACCGAAATATAACAAAATATAATTATAATAATTATAATTATATTATTTTAATAATTAATAAATATAATGTAAGTTTATAATTATTTATAACCATGTATCTTTAAAAACGCAATAAACTTTTACTGTATTATAATGATAGTTATAGCCAGGGCTTGACATTAACTTTTTTGATCACCAGCCACTGTGGCTAGTAGATTTCCAACATTACTAGCCACTTGCCATTTTCACTTGCCACAATTTTGTTGTTTGGAAATATATTTTATATAAATAAATGTGACTTTGACAAGCTAAAATTACTTGATTTAGATGTTGTGTTGTTCACATGCCCCCTCATTTAATTTACCTTTCATGTGTGTTGTGTACGAGCTTGCTCACTGTGCATGAGCAAATGGGTTGTGTCGCATTGCAATTAGTTTTATTATTTCATATGAGTTTTTTAGGGCTCAAAATTTAGGATTTACCAAATTTATCTCTGACCTCACCAAAAAGAAATAATTATTTCTTAGCCACGGATTTAAAATGTGTCAAAGCAAGCAAAATAAAGATGCATACATGCACTTTTTATTCAACAAAACTTTTGTGCTTTTTTAATTTACATTTAAAAAGATCTATTGTCATTTATCTAAAATATACACAGAAATCTGTCCTGGCTAAAGGTCCCAGATCAGCAGTTAACTACACATAAGTTAATCTCATATTAATGCAAAGTTATTGTAAAGAATCATAATTAAACTATATAAACAAAAATAACTATAAGCAAAAGAAAGCAGGTAAAAATCATACCGTGTGTGATAATGAAAGCATTGGGATTGTGGGTACACAAGCATCGCTTTTTGTCTAGGTTATTTCTAAGAGAACCAATCGCACCATTTGCATTTCCTCTACACACGGTTGTTTTGCGCAAGTAAACGGGAGCTTATATCACCTGTGCGCACGACTAACTATCCTCTCATAAGGTATTCACCAGCTTTTGCTCGTGCAAACAGTTAATTTTTGTCAGTCGTGCTGCTTCTCAATTCTAAGATCCCATTTGCACGCGTATTGGGACATCCTTCTTGTCCAACCCTGCTTTAAGAAAACTACAATTTAAAAATTATTTCCAACCAGCCAAAGTGGCTAGTGTGAGTGGCTGTCTTACCTGCTAGAGCTGAAATCTACCCGCATTTGGCGGGTTGGCGGGTGTTAATGTAAAGCACTGGTTATAGCTGCACAATAATATATAATAATAATTATAATAGTGTATTAATATTTATTACTTAAAGCCATCAATACGGCATTTATAAAGGTTAGTAACTGTATTATTACTGTATCATACAGACTTAGTACAAAAGTATTATGCATTAAAAAGCATTAAGAATACATTTATAAAGCATAATGCAAGCTTTATGAAAGCATTATGCTTTATGTTAAGTCAATATTAATACTGTTATAAAGCACTATATAGTACATATAGACTTGGGAGAATGTATTGTGGACCATTTTGCATTAATAACACCTATATAAAGCATTAAACACTGCATAAAGACTTTGTAGAAATTATTATGCATCATATTGCATTAATTATACCTTTATGATACACTATGCATACATGCTTCATAAAAAAAATATTACATTACGAATATCTTTGTAAAGCATTATTCATACAGACTTCTCACTATGTATTAATCTTTATATTGAATTACTAATACTTTTATAAACCATTATAAATAGGAGAAAGATTTAGGCATTATAATGCATTAATAATACCTTTATAAAGCCTTATTTATACAGACCTAGTACAAGAGTAATATGAATTATAAAGCATTTAGAATACCTTTATAAAGCATAACACAAGCTTAATAAAAAGAATTATGTATTATATAAAATTAATAATACCGATATAAAGCATTATACAGTACATATAAGCTTTGTAGAACATGTTGTGCACCATTTTGCATTTATAACACCTTTGTAAAGCATTAAACATTGCATAAAGGTTTTGTAGAAATCACTATGCATCATTTTGCATTAATAACACCATTGTTAAGCACTATACATGGAGGCTTTGTTGAGAGGTTTGTGTATTATAATGCTTTATAAATGCCTGCATGATGCATTACACATACATGCTTCATTAAAAGTATTGCATTACGAATATTTCTATAAAGGGTTATTTATACAGACTTCTCACTAAGTATTAATCATTATATTGATTTGCTAATACTTTTATGAACCATTATGAAAAGACTTTGAGAAAGATTTAGGCATTATAATTGCACTAAGAATAACTTTATAAAAACCTTATTTATATAGACTTAATACAAAAGTATTATGCATTATAAAGCATTAGGATTAAATTTTTAAAGCATAATACATACAAGCTTTATAAAATGCATTATGCATTATATTAAATTAATAATACCATTATAAAGCATTATATAGTACATATAAGCTTTGTAGAACATATTGTGCACCGTTTTGCGTTAATAACACCTTTATAAAGCATTTATCATTGCATAAAGACTTTGTAGAAATTATTATGCATCATATTGCATTAATGATAGCTTTATGATACACTATGCATACAGGCTTGAGGCTTTGTTGAGAGTTTTGTGTATTATAATGCTTTATGAATGTTTACATAATGCATTACACTGTACATACATGCGTCATAAAAAAGTATTACATTATGAATATCTTTGTAAAGCATTATTCATACAGACTTCTCAATATGTATTAATATTTATATTGAACTACTAATACTTTTATAAACCATTATAAATAGGCTTTGAGAATACCTTTATAAAGCCTTATTCATACAGACTTAGTAAAAGAGTATTATGCATTATAAAGCATTAAGAATACCTTTATAAATTTTACCTTTAAAATAAAAAAAACACCATTGTTAAGCACTATACACCAAGGCTTTGTTAAGAGTTATGTGTATTATAATGCATTATTAATGCCTACATAATCAAATCAATGTCAAGTCAATGTTCATTTTTATAAAGTGCTTTTAAAAACAACAAGTGTTTACCAAGGTGCTGTACAAGCATCAGCCATTATGCACTATACATACATGCTTCATTAAAAGTATTGCATTACAAATAACTTTGTAAAGGGTTATTCATACAGGCTTCTTAATAAGTACTGATCGTTATATTGAATTGCTAATACTTTTATAAGCCATTATAAATAGGCTTTGAGACCTTTATGTAGCCTTATTCATACAGACTTAGAATAAAAGTATTATAATGCATTAAGAACACATTTATAAAGCATAATACATACAAGCTAAATAAAATGTATTATACATAATATTAAATCAATAATACCATTATAAAGCATTATACATGTAGACTTTGGAGAATGTGCTGTGCATTATTTTGCGTTAATAACACCTTTATAAAGCTTTAAACATTGCATAAAGGCTTTGTAGAAATTATTATGCATCATATTGCATTAATTATACCTTTATAATGCAATTACACACAGGCTTAAGGCAGTGTTGAGAGTTTTGTGTATTATAATGCATTATGAATATCTACATAATGCATTATACACATGCTTCACACAAAGCATTATGCATTGCATTGAATTACAGATACCACATTATTCATATAGACTTCTCACAGACGATTATGCATCATATTGAATTACTAATACATTTTTATAAACCATTATAAATAGGCTTTGAGAAAGATTTAGGCATTATAATGCATTAAGAATACCTGTATGCAGTCTTATTCATATAGACTTAGAACAAAGGTTTTATGCATTATAAAGCATTAAGAATCCCTTTATAAAGCATAATACATACAGGTCTGAGGCTTTGTTGAGAGTTTTGTGTATAATGCGTTATGAATCTCTACATAATGCATCATACTGTACATACATGCTTCATACGAAGTGTTATGTATTGCACTGAATTACAAATACTGCATTATTCATACAGACTACTTACAGAGGATTATGCATTATATTGAATTATTAATATGTTATAAACTATTATGCTATAAACCATTATACATAGGCTTTGTAGAAGGTTTTAGTGCATTAAGAATACCTTTATAAAGTATTATAATGCATTATGAATACATTTATTAAGCATAATACATACAGGCTTCAGGCTTCATAGAAAGTGTTACCAAAAAATAGGTTTTCACCACAAGTGTTGCGGCAAAATAGGTTTTCACCATCATCACGCCATCATCATTGGACAGCAGTATTAAAGCATGTGCTGATGTGCGGCTGTCCCGTGTTGAAGAATGTCCCAAAGGCGTGAGAGGGGCAGGGCAGCTGCAGACCTCAGTAACACATCCCTGATGATTTCACAGCTGTTTCCCACATTCCTGCCATCCTCCCTGCAGACAGCCGCTGACGGGATGCCTCCCCCTGATGCTGTTTTCATTTGCCATGTGGGAAAGCTGTGAACTCAGCCTTGTGTTGTTTGATGAGTTTAGGGGAGGCTTGTGTAACTCTAGAGCTCAGCGCTTTTGGATGCTGGGCGGCTTTACTGTCTTCATCTCAATGCTCAGAGGAGTGTAGATGGGTTTGATTTGTGCACTTTCGGCCCATTATGTGCTGTGTTTTTACTCTGCTTTTAGGTGTAGTGGTTGTGTGAACAGCCGCTGGAAGTGTAACTGGTGTATCCATCAGCATGTGTGCACTCACCGCTCCACGTGTGACAGTGGTGCCATCATCTACAACCAACATGTAAGTTTTGGTTTATATGTGGGAGTTGTGTGATTTGTGCGATTATAGTGGAGCCTGCAAGTCTGAGAGTTAAACCGTGTATATTTAGCATATTTTTAATTGAAAATGATTAGCTTAATGAATTTCAATTAGAGAAGAAGCTTTAAAAGCAAAGTGGTTTTATTCAGGGGCCAAAACACTAACATCAGCATTCATAAGAAATCATGAGATCTTAAAGGAACGCGTCTTTCCTTTTTTTAAAATGGGCTAATTTTACTACTGTTACTAAAGTTAAACAGATTTGTTTTACCATTTTCAATCCATTTATCTGATCTTCAGGTCTGGTGGGAGCACTATTGGCTCAGCTTAGCTTAGCTTAGCATAAATCATTGAATCAGATTAGACCGTTAGCATCTCGCACAAAAAAAAGGCTTGACGAAATATGAAATTTTATAAGGTTATGTGGCTAGGAACTATACTCTTGGAACTATACACTACATGACAAAAGACTTGTCACCTATCCAAGTTTAAGAAACAACAAATAATAACTGGACTGTTGACCATTTGGTATCAGGAGTGGCTTAAATGATAAGCAAAGGGTTTCTTATTGAAGATTGTTTTTTATTGATAAATATCCACAAAGAAGCAAGTTGCCTTTCGTTGATCGGCTTCATTAACTCCCAGTAGCTCAGTGGTTACGTGACTCACCTCTCAGGGGAGTCATGGGTTCTATCCCTGACTCCAACAGATGAAGAAGAAGAACAAGACGAAGACAACAAAGAAGACCAAAATAAAGACGAAAACCAAGCAGATGACCAAGACCAAGATGAAGATCAAGATGATGACGAAGACCATAAAAACCAAGAAGAGGAAGACTAAGAAGACTAAGACCAAGGTGAAGAACATAACGATGACCACGAAGACGAAGATCAAGCAGAGGACCAAGATCAAGTAAACGATGATTATGAAGATCAAGAGAAAGACGAAGACCATAAAGACCAAGAAAAAGAAGAGAAAGACTGAGACCAAGATGAAGATCAAGACAAAAACGACAAGGAAGACCATAAAGACCAAGAAGGTGATGAAGAAGAAAGGAGGAGTAGGACCAAAATGGGCATCCAAGATGGAAAAGATGATGACGACCATAAGGAAGAAGACCCAGTCAAAGAAGATGACGGTCAAAAAGGAAAAGGCTTAGAAGACTAAGACCAAGGTGAAGAACAAGACCACAATCACGAAGACGAAGACTTCGAGAATATAAAGTTATGGTGCCTTGGATATTTGTGTAGGACTCCCATGAGCTTGCAGGACTGTATTCATACATCTCTGCAATTACTCAAATAACCTATTAATAATAAAGTCATCTGGAATGGCAAAGAAAGCGTTCTTGCAGGACTCCCAGAGTTCATCAAGATTCTTTAGAATCACCTTTAATGCCTCCTCCTTCATCTTAGCCCAGGCATGCTCAATAATGTTCATGTCTGGTGACTAGGCTGGCCAATCCTGGAGCACCTTGACCTTCTTTGCTTTCAAGAACTTTTATGTGGAGGCTGTATGAGTAGGAGCTCTATCCTGCTGAAGAATTTGCCCTCTCCTGTGGTGTGTAATGTAATGGGCAGCACAAATGTCTTGATACCTCAGGCTGTTGATGAAGCCATACACTCTGCAGATCTCTCGCACACCACCCATACTAAATGTAACCCCAAACCATGATTTTTCCACCACTTTTCCAAATGATCAACTCAAGTTCAAGATCAAGTCAAGTTATTATTTGTTGCTCGTACAACTGGGATCGATGACAAGACTTTAGTCAGGTAGTGTACTCTCTAAGCGTTTTCTTAGTGCACAATGTAACTACAGAAGACTTAAGTTTTAAATAGGAAATTTATTGAAACTTTTAGCCCATTTTTAAGTGAGATGCTAATGGTCTAATCTGATTTAATGACTTGTGCTAAGCTAAGCTAGAGGAGCTCTTGTTAGACCCGAAGATAAGCTGACTGGATTCAAGAATTGTATTACATTTGACTGTTTATCTCTAGAGGACTTGTAAAAGAAGCATATTTTTGAAGGGTACCTATTTTACCCCTTTTTTCAAATTTTAGGATCTGTCTTTTTTGTCTCCATGTGTCTGTAAAGTTTCAGCACAAAAAAACAGCTGTTATAACATTGTAGCTGCCTGTGCCTTTAATGCAAAAGAGCTGGTTCTACCCTCCCACTGTTCCCATGTGCATTCACAGGGATCTGTTTGTATTGCTCTAAAGCGTGTAGCCTTCGCGTAGATAAACAGCACAGTGACAGACAAGAATGAATCTGATCTCCCACACACACACACACACACACACACACACACACACACACACACACAAACACACACATACACTTGCTTAGCTTTGCACTGTTTTTGCACGACAGATGTGACAGGATATATGTTAATATCCACTGTTGTATGGATATCTGTTATGTTAAATCCATTATGTTAATCTGGATTGAAGCGTTATCTTTTATAAACATCCTGACTCTTTGTGGCTGTGTTGATAAATTACAACAATTTTACTGTCTTTATTACAAACATGCTCTGTTTTTAAAACGTTTAAAACTTGTAAAACAATTTTTGATGTGTAGATGATCACAGGGAGCTGAACAGATCTTTTACTCACAGTTGCTTTGCACACATTCTGTCCTTTGGATATGATAATACACGTTACTACACACCACATCACATTGCGGTGGGAGGGATTTTGGGTCTTATTTTAACATCAGGAAATTTAAAAAAAGAGATTTACTGTGTTTATAGCGCTCAAATATGTTTGTGGGCACACTAAACCTACACACAGTTCTGTTCAAACAGCTTACAAAAGATGATTTTCATTATAGGTGCCCTTGAAGTAAATTGTTCCTTTGCACTTCATAAAATATATTAATTACTTCATAGCTGTGGAACGATCAAAAATCTCAGCTTTTTAGGTGTCAGGTGCTACAGTATGTACCATGGAGGTCATGTGACAAAAAACAACCAATTCAGTACATCCTGACAGAATTGAAGTATTAATTTTTCATGAAAAAATTAATAAATGAAGATCTTCAGCTTTTATATTGTTGTTTTTAGTGTGCATTTAATTATTTACATTTATTTTTCTTTAATTATTTAATCAGCATAACAGTGTAGACAAAAGGTTTTAAAAATGCAAATGTTTGATTTGCTTTATGCACTAGTAAACAATGTCTTTTTTTTTACGTATATAAACCCCCTGCATTATTAAATTCAATTGAAGTATTATACAACCCATTTCTAGTGTTGCTTTCAGACTTCCAGCTCCAACTGCATGCTCTTTTCAGTTCCTTTAGCTTTCAAGTAATAGTTTTTGGTTCAAATGTATGTAACACCTGCTTGTGTGTTTTTTTATTTTTGTTTAGCGTTTGCTTAGTGTCTATTATTTAGCATTTTGTATTTAAGTTATTTCAGTTGCCATTTATTTCATTTCTCCCCTTCATTTTCTCTGTTGTCCTTTGTTCGTCTCAAGTTTACCTTCCCTACGTCTGCTCCTCGAACAATAAAAGACTCGTACACATATACCACCTCCACACCCACCACAAGCATAACAACAGTCCTCCCCACCACTGAAGCTGGCATTACAACTGAAGCAATTATAATGACGACCACTCCAGAGCCCACCATCGCTCCCACTACACCACTGGAAACCACAACCCCAATCAACAATCCTCCCACAACCCCCAACCATGCCACAACCAGCCCCACTCCACTGCCCACCGACACCATCACGGAGGCCACGACCCTCTCGCAGAACGCCTCTCAGGTGGATGAGAGCATCCAGGTAGGTTTGCTGTCGACCCCGACTCCGCAATCCAATGAAGAGCTTGCCAGACACTCGACGCCTGAAGTGACGCTGCCCGCATTGAGAGCTGGCGAAGTGGTGACGATGGGGCCATTAAGTGAAGTTCTGCCATCTGAAGTGGCTACCCTATCATATACGGAGATGAACATGGATGCCCTTTTAGAGACGGGACTCCCAGTGTCATCCGCTAGCGCCCCCTCTGGCGACGGTGAGGCAGGCCCTGATTCAGCCGATTTCGCTCTCGCTCAAGATACTGACTACCAGTCGGACTCAGACGACCTTTTGTTGATGGTGAGTGTGGCTCCTGGGGGCCAACACTGCTCGCTTGTTTGCGCTGCAGAAGCTGAAGGTTGAACGTACCTTTAGAGGGGGTTCATATGGGTGAATGATGGGATGTTTAATTGGACTGATGAAAGTGGTAGTGATTCGAGCTTAATTATGCATTTGAGGCATTAAATGACTCAGGAATGTTCTGGGACTTGCGCAGAAATTCATTTAGATTTCTCAGTTTGTAAAATTGTGTTAAAAAAACAACAACAATTTGCTTTACACTGTAAAAAGAAAAGCACTAGGTTCCATACAATCCCTTAATTTTGTCAAAACACAAATCGATTAAGTTAACCTCATCGTTTTTACAAATTTAAGTGGATTAAACATAAAACAATTCCCAAGAATTGTGTATTTCAAAGAGCCAATATTATACATTAAAAAGGGTCATATTTTGGTTTTAAGGGTCTCCAACAACAGGCTGATATGCATGCAAGGTCAAAAAACTATTTCATGGTCTTATAATATGCATTTAATTTTACATAATTATTCGAGTGACTCCCATATTCCCAAAACCCTCCTTAGAGCGAAGCTAATCAGCGCTGATTGGACCGATGACAGTCTGTTGCTATTAGTCGAGAGAAATGGCCAGCACGGCATATGAACAATATTGAAGCAGTCAGAGTGCATAGTGTGTGTGCGAGCATACCTGCCAACACCTTTTTTCTCGGAAGTCTCCCCTATTTCAGATCCATCTCCAGCCACCCACCGGGATCTGCTGAATTGTTTGTGGGCCGGGCAGCAGGTTTCAATTTTCCCTGGTCTGAGCACGCAACAATTAGGCAGGGCTTAAGTTTCAAATTGACGTCACGCCAAATAGGCTAAATACTACACTATCAAGATGATTCACTTAAAACACTATGAGTTGACTCTTTTATAAATGAATCAATAGTTTTAAACACTGTCCACTTTCAGATTTAAGCCTTAGCTGGTTATTTCAATTCACTTAGAGCTGTTACACACTACATGAAAGATAATTTTCAAAAACCCACAATAGGTGCTCTTTAAATGAGTAATTTGATCGTTCAGAAAAAAAAAACATTTTTTGAGTGTACAGTATTACTCTTTTAAGACATTGGGCCCTATCATACACCCGGTGCAATGTAGCACAAAGTGCAACGCAATTGTTCTTTGCTAGTTTCAGCTAGACTCAAGGGTCATTTTAATGTTTTGCACCACGCCGTTTAAATAACAAATGCATTTGCGCTCATATGTGCACCCATAAGCGTTCGGGTCTAAAACAGGAGATGTGTTAAGGTAAATTGCTGGTGCGTTGTTATTTTGAGAAACTAACATAGTTGTGTGCCTCGCTTAAACATTGCTTAATACACACAGGATGTACAGCAATACACAAGTGTCTTTACAAATGACAAATAATTAAAGCAATAAAATAATACAAAAAATATTATTTTCAACAAAAATATATAAACTGCCTCCATGCCTTCGTCATCTCAGGGGGCTTTTGTAGTGTATTTATGACGATTTGCTTTTGTATAATGTTATTATTATCAGTAGTTTTATTCATTATATGCATATTTATATTTGTTTTATTAAAATCAAGCTTAGATTTGTCCACCTGTCAAGTTTTAGACCATATTGGGGATAGCATGTGTCTTTGGATATAACTCAGTTTTTTGACCACACTTCATTATTATTATTCATTTATGCATTTGCTGGAAAATAGAACTGAATTTAGAAATAGTTTTGAAACAAATATTTGTGCTTAACAAACTAATTTAATTATGAAGGCTAATGGATGTCTGTGCATACAACACGTTTCCTTATCCACAAAATAGAGTGGAAGTGAAAGTAAAGAATGAGGAGGCTCATTCTCTCATTCTCACGCTGCCGATGATCTGTTTAACTGTTTTCTCACTAGTGAAGGGTTCAGTTTTTCCACTTACAAAGTCAATCATGTAAATAGCAAATGCGATATGGTGCTAAGCAACCGAAACTTAAAGGGAATAGGAGATGGGATTCGATGATTTGTTTATTCTCAAAACACACCTATAACTCATTAAGAGAATAATCTCAACCCTGTTAGACCATGCGCTGCAGCGCAAAGTGGATTTTTTTCATCCTTAAAATAGCAAAGGTGGACACGCCCTTAATGCTATTACGTTTTGGACTTTGCGCCTAGATGATTAAAATAGAGCCCATTGTGTATACAAAAAATACATTTTCTGTTTTTAATTTACATGTTGTTCTAAAGTAGTTTTACTTGAAGTCAATGCTTATTTGTGAAGTGCTTTTTAAAATCAACAAGTGCTTACCAAAGTGGTGTACACATATACTGTAGAAGGACAAATACAACAGACATAGGACTCTCATATGGTATTAAAAGCCAAAGAGTAAAAATGGGTTTTAAGACCTTTCTAACATGTAGAGGCAAACTATTTATTTAGGGACTATTGCAAAGGCACAGTCCCTTCTGGTTTTTAACATTGTACGTGGAACAGCCAAAAGTAACTGATCATCACATCTAAGTGGCCTTGATGGAGTGTACAATTGAAATAATGCACACTGAAACAAATATCCTAAAATGAATGCTAAACTGAGACAGGAAGCCAGAGAAGAGAAGCCAGTGTGGGTGTAATGTGTTCTCGTTTTCATATCCCTTTCATGTTTTGAATGAAGTTTCAGTGTTTTGGTGTGTAAATAAAGACAGTAGGGTCTTGAGTCAACCAAAAAATAAATAAATAAATAAATAAAAATCTGATAATTTTTGTTGGTTATATTAAAGAAAGTCACACATGTACATTTGGAACAACTTGAAAAATATTGATTACAGACAGTGTTTTTTGTGTGTGTGTGTGTGTGTGTGTGTGATTTATCTGTTTAAAGCCTAGGTCTCAAACTCAATTCCTGGAGGGGCGCAGCTCTGCACAGTTTTGCTCCAACCTTAATCCAACACAGCTGATCCAACTAATCAAGGTGTTCAAGACTACTAGAGACTATTTAGCAGGTGTGAGTTGGAGGTGGTTAAACTGGTCAGTGCTGCGGCCCTCCAGGAATTGAGTTTGAGACCATTGGTTTAAATTGTGCAAAGTGTAATTGTTAATTTAACATTTTTTGTTTTCAAAACATTTTATTTTTGTATGTGAATTATCTATTTAACATGTGTAAAATGCAGGAGTCAATTACAGGTGTAAAAATCCTATTTATCAACCTATCAAAAAATTTTAGCTTGTCATAAACTTATTTGGGTCAAATATGGACCCAAAGCCAATATTTTGAAAAAAATGTTTTATTTGACCCATAATTGGGTTAAAACTACATTTTTAAAAAGTGAGCATTGTTTAGTTCAGTTAGCATTTTTGCCTGCTTATTTTGCAATCACTTTATTTTGATGGTCCCTTTTACGCATTTTGTTGAGTTAAAGTTACACTGCATCTACATGCCAACTAATTCTCATTAGATTAAAAGTAGACTGTTAGGCTGGGGTTAGGTTGTGTAAGTTGACATGTGCTTGCAAAGTTTCTTATAGTCAGTTAAATGTCTGTTGAAAGAGCAGTATCAGCAGATATCAAGCAGACAGTCTACTAATAGTCCAAGGAGAATTGATTGGCATGTAGTTGCAATCCAACTTTTTGTCAACAAAATGAGCAATAGGGCCATCAAAACTTAATCAATCATTACACTTAATTTAAAATGATTATTGTTTATTTTTATTCATATAAATTATACAAAGTACATAAGTCAGTTATGGAAGAAAAAAAAAATCTTTTTTTTTAAACATGGTAATCGATAGTATTAGTAGACTGATAAACGTGTTTGTTAAAAGTGCTAAAAATTTGCTTTGATTTTTTTTTTTTTCAATTCTGTATAAGTTATCGTCTTCATTTTATAGGCATAATAAAGTAAAACAAGTACATTGTTGTGCAAATACCACCAAATTCTTCTGTAATCTCTATGAAAAAAATCGATCTTTTGATCCCAGAGCATTTCTTTAGTCATTAAATTCTTCTCATGTGGCTTTTCCCTCTTGTTATTTGTCCATTTTTGTGTTCCACAAATCTCTGTCTAACACACTCACTCCTGTTGTCTTGTCATTCTGCTCATCTCGCATGTTTCTTAATATAGAAGAGTTCGAGTCTGCACCTTTCAAAGCAGTGGTGTGCGTAATACAGTATTTGTCCATCTGTATGTGTGATCAGGAGGAGGAGAGTTTACTGGTGAGCCGAGGCTCTCAGGCCTGTCCATGTGTGGAGAGGATTCAGGGCAGTTCACTCCTACCTGTCAATGTCGAAAGGAAGATCACGCTACTGGGACGCAACTTACACCTCTATCAGGTAACGCAGCATCTGTTAGGTACCTGTTAGGGCTTGATTTAGCAAATTCAGACCGTGAGCATAATGTCTGGTTATGCTTACTTTGAAAACAATGGGCTGATTGACTGGCATATTTAACAACCAATTGTGGTTTCTTAACGAAAGGAAAAATCTAAAAGCAATTGTTTCATAATGACGAATTATCATATAATGTTGATGCAGTGTAAAAATATGCTAAAAGAATGATACAATTGTCTGAGTGAGAGATTGTAAATGAGTAGAACACAGTGATTTGATGCTGTAACCAAGCATACCCTTTAGTCTGATCATCTTGTAGACTTTTTCTACAAAAGAAAAAGAAAGTGTCATCCAAACAGTATCTATGAGGACATTAGAAAATCTAAAACAAAAAACCATCTGTCAATGAGGTTTCAGGAAATTGAGCATCAGTACAGGTGTTAAACACAGTTCCTGGAGGGCCGAAGCTCTACAACAGCTGTGTCTCATTTCAGAGGCTGCGTCCTCCAAAATATGCATTCGAAGTGCGCTGCGTCATCCCGATGCGACGAAGGCTGTCTTGTTTCAAAAAATTTGAAGGCTCCTTCAAACGCTGCTTGAAAATGCGTCCTTCGTTTTACTGGGTATTAAAGAACACAACCGTGGAGATTCATTGTGTGCTGATAACGGCAGGACGCTTTCAAAAGAAAACTCCGGCTTAAATGTTTAAATTATGTTTATTTTATGTGGATATGTAAACACATGTTAAAAAACAAAAAGAGTATGACACGTCTTACGAAAGACTGATTTTATAGACAGTTTACGTGTTTCTGTGTACATGTATGGATCAACTGAAATATATTTCCAGCTTCTGTATACCTTGTTTTACCTTTAGATCGCTTAAAATAAGTTTTAAAATCACTTTGAAAAAAGAAATTACTACTTTTTACTGCTTATTAACAGCAGCTGTTACAGTTATTAGGTGACGAGATCCATCCTCTGTGGGCTAGATCAGTGGTTCTCAAACTGTGGTACGCGTACCACTAGTGGTACGCGGGCTTCCTCCTAGTGGTACGCGGAGGAATCGCTGAATAATGAAAGAAACAATTAACACTTTTAATCCTTTAATGCGTAATATAACATTGATGTGATCAGCATTGGCTGTTTTGTGAAGCGTACGATCACAACGCTGTGCTTAGAGTGTTTATTTTAGTGCATTGTGTCATAAGCTGCTGAAAATCAGTTTCCGAAGTTTAAGAATTGATTCTGAAGCGTGATTTGACTGACATGAAAAGTGGCCAATCACAGTCGACCTTGTCTAGTTGCGTGAAACGTAAGGGCGGGACAAAGGCTTTCTGTGTTGCAGAAAAAACTGAAAAAACAACTTAAAAACAAATGTTTTGTTGGAATAATGCTTCTCGGATGTTTTCACTACAGAGATGTCTAGCAGAGTAATTAAACCGCGGACATATTTCCTGCCTATTTGATGATCTTCATACACGTTTTGCTCTCCGACAGCCAGTCGACTCTCCTCTGACCTGTCACTCCTCTAAATACATTCTGAATGGCGGCGCGGGAATGAAGGTATTGCGCAATTACTCGTTTCTGCAAAAGCGAGTGCTTTATTTTAACACGAGAGCGCATTCATGTACGCAAATCGCTAAAACAGATATGCGAGCTCTTAAATAGGCTTTTTTCAAATGAACTGCAAGTCCTCTCATGATCGCCTGTGTGCTCACATAGAATACAATCGCGATCTCTCCACTATTAGAGTAGACATTATTTATCTTTGCTCCTTAACTAAATTTAGTCAAAAGTATTCAAAGTAATCAAATATTTAGAAATAGATTGATACATGATCGATGACAATGCTAATGGTCTTCTTATTTGGCTGTGTTGTGAAGTGAAACTTACTTTTAGCAAAGGTGGAACATTTTTTTATTTCTTTACGACAAAATAATTATGCTGGAAATGTTTCTGGATGAGGTATTTGTGTGATTTATACATTTAGCTGTATTCTGATCTGTCCTAAAGCATTACAGGTCAAAGCAATCCATTGTTAGCCTACTTATTGTTTATTTATCACAATTTACAATAAGGCTCTTAAAGCACTGCTTTGATAAATGTAGTGTCGTCATATTTCAAATACCTCAAGTAAAATGAAGTCATTTGTTTTATTTTTTTACTGACAGTGTACTTGTATTTTTTTACGTTTCTATTTTAGATTAAGATCAAGTGTAAAATAAAATCTACATGTGATGTACAGCTATTTAAGAAACAAATTTGCCATATTGTAAAGAAAATAGTGTAAAATATGTAAATAAAAGGCTAAATTTAAATCTTTTTACTATATACTTTAATTTAACCTTTCAAAGCTTAAAAATATATTTTTTTAAAAATGGGCAAAAAAGTGTCTCTATGGCTTTAAAGATTATTTGGTAGTTTTACCAGTGCTATTGAATAAGATTAATTGTCATGAAAGGAAACATTGACTATAATTCCTTTGTTAGTGCAAATTATACATCTAGTTTTGGGATGTAAGCAATCAAACCATTAAATCAGGTTTACACTTAAAAAAAAGTGATTTCATAATGAAAATCTGATTTTTTTTTCAAAAGTAACCAACTAGTACTTTTTAAAAGAGTAATTTGTACTTTTACCTAATATTAGTATTATTTACTAAAAAAAAATATTTTAGCAGTGTAATAGTATTTTTACTTGAGTACAAAAAAGATTTCACAAGCACTTAGTGCAGGTTTATTATACTATTATTATATGATTAATAAATATTATTATTAATCGTTTTTATTTGTATCTATTCCTATGCAATGTTTTATGGGTTGCTGAGAATACATTTCAGGTCTTCAATACATAGCATGTCAGTCTTGAAAAGAAAAAAAAAAGGTGCTGGAATTGATTTTCATTAGGCTGTGCCTGTATGAACCCTGTCATATGTACATTTAACATTTATTACAAGATTTGTCTTAAAGTGTATGAATATGACATATAGCCTATATTTATAAGTTCCAAGCAGCATTTCCAGCTTTTGATGAATAGGCTACTATGAATACTTTAGATTTAAGTACAGCAGTTTTCTTTTTACTTTTTAAGAACAGCACCATTTTTTTATTAACTTTTAAAAGCACGTTTTAACTAAAACTTTTTTTTTTTTTATCTGCAAGCATAGTTAATGTTCAGACTTTCAAATTTTTAAAGTGACTGACAATAATACATATTCTTACTAATAGGAAGTAATCTGCATCGTTTTAAAACTGTGCACACCTGTAGCTGCTTAATTAGGCTTACGACGCTATTTTTTAATACTGGTTAAAAAATAGCGTCTTAAGGTGGTACTTGGAGAGACGATTTTTTTCTAAGGTGGTACTTGGTGAAAAAAGTTTGAGAACCACTGGGCTAGATCATCTAATTTCAAAACGCTTAGTTCGGCCTGTGTAGACTTTGAAGGACTCACCTTTAAATGAGACACAGCTTAAGTTAGTTCCAACCTTAATTAAACACAACTGATCAAACTAATTGAGTTCTTCAGTCTTCTTTAAAACATACAGCTCAGTGAACTATGCAGGGCCCTGATCTACAGTACAAGAATTGATTAAAGTGGTTAGTTCACCCAAACATCGAAATTCTGTGATTGATTAAATACTCACCCTCATGTTGTTCCAATCTCCTGACACCTTTCTTTGTTTGTCTTCAGAACACAAATTAAGATATTTTAGATTAAATCTGAGAGCTCCCACATCCTCCATAGATAGTAGTTGTCCTGAGATGTTCAAAGTACAGACAAGGAGCCAAAAACTTTGTCAAAACATTCCATGTGTCATCGGTGGTTCAATTGTTATCGAACAAAAGCTTCAAGAACATCTTTATGTGCCAAAAAAGGACACACGCGCAAACACTATTTGTACCAAATAATGGAACTCTACCTTCTGAAAGTCTTTGCCTCCTAGATTGCTGTTGTCAGACTAATCTGATTTTTAATCAGATTTTTTTGTGAGCTTTTTTTGTAATCGTAGATTTATGCACTAAACTTTTGCCCAGTGTTAAAATGTTTTGCAGGGTTAAATCATTGCAGTGCAATTGTCTAAACTGTCTAGTTTAGTAAATATCAAGAAATGTTGAACTTTAGAATTTCCAAAGCTGTAAAATGATTCGTATAGATTTGAATATAAAGTGTAGTAAAATGTACTAATAGATTAGAAGATTTATGCAAATTTTTTTTTGTCAGTCCGGGTCACTTAAATAAATACTTGTTGAAAAAGTATTAATTATTTTCAGAGAAAAACAAAAACAAAAAAAGCTTACTAACGCCAAACTTTCTCTTGCCATTTACACTACCGGTCAGAAGTTTGGGATGTTTTATTTAATTTTTTTTAATATGTATTTTTTTAAAGAAAATTATTAAAATACTAATTAAATACTTTTTGATTGTATGTATTTTCAAATGAAATTATTACTCCAATCATTATTGCTTTTATCACTATTAAATTAATATTAATAAAAATTATAATAATACTTATTATTATTATTATTATTATGTATAATATATAATATAATTATTAATATTAGTGTGATTTCTGAACGATCATGTGACACTTAAGACTGGTGTAATGAAGCTGAAATTTCATCAATAAAATCACTGGAATATATTGTTAAATTAAATTATAAACTACTTTTAAACAGTCATTTTATAGTGCAATAACATTTCACAATTTTACAATGCGTACTGTATTTTGATTAAATAAATATTAGGATAAGTTTATTTTAAAACATTTCAAAATCCTACTGACCCCAAACTTTTGACCGGTTGTGTATATTGTGCATGTTCTTTTTAATATTATGTAAGGGATAATCAATAGATCACTGTGCATTAAAAGATCACATAAAAAGTGTTCTTAAATGCAAAGGCAAAGAAACACCCGTCGAATACCCAGCTTATTCTGTGGTTATTTAGCTACATTTTAAGTAGAGTAGCTAATAGCTTAGCTCACTACATTTTTCAAGTAGCTTGCCCAACACTGGTAACGTGTTAGTTATTCGCAACATTTTTTGAGCATATTTGTGAGTTGTATGATCGGCTCCCTAGTGAAGAACAACTCCATGACCTTGGGATTACACAGAGGAATGAATAAGGGTGTGATTGATTTACTTTGGTTACTACTGGTTATGCTTGTTACTCAAACAGTAATCAAAACTGACTGGTGCATAAAATGATTTGTACCTTCTAGCTAATTAGAATCAAGAATTTCAACTGATTATGATTTTTTGGGGCAATAAATGTTTGTGTATGTGTCTTTCAAGGACAAAGAATTTGACTACCAGTGTGTGTTGGTGATCGAGGGCCGATCGGTGGTGGTGGACGCGTTTGTGGAGGGGGATGATACTCAGCCATCTCTGTTCTTTATCACCTGCCAGCTGCACCAGGTCTGCTAGCACAACAAATTGAGCTAAAACCCAAATATTGATTACAAGTGGTTGCAGTAGCTTAATTAAACTATGATTGCATTTCGGTTTCAAAGTACTCATACTCTGCTGCTGTGGAGGAATACAAGAGCATGATCTCCATCAGGAGGAGGGACTCCTTCCAGATGGATTACCCAGAAGACCTGCATGGTACAGTAGCCAATAATTTCTAAATTTTAGCTGTTTCAATATGCTGTAGCCCAACTAACACCTAGCATTAAGATACCATGTCAAACTGGCCAACACAAGAGGACAATGCTAAATACAGGTGTAAATATAGGAGTCTCTGGTTGAAAGGTGAGCATCGCCTTGTAGTCAGTTTTCAAAACATTATATTAAATGTTCCTCGCTGGTGGAATGATCTTCCCATTCCCACACAGACAGAAAATTCAATAGTATCATTCAAAAGACAACTGAAAACCCATCCTTGGTCACTTGAGCAGAAAAAAAAAAGTTTTTCTAGCTTTAAATTCTCTCAGCACTAACAGTTCCTTTGACAAAAGCATCTGCTAAATGCAAATGTAAATATGGTGTTTACTTTTGACCACTTCAGGAGGTAGTCGAAAACACATTTGACTGGATTGCTTTCATAGTGTAAATGTTCATGTCACAAAAGACCAGCTATTATCTGCTTACTGAGAGCACACGAGATGATCATTATGGGATGTACTGTGGGGAAGCACACCAAAACAAGGTGTTCAAAACCTAGATTACGATCTAAATTGTAGCAGCCATCAACATTCTGCGTACTGTAATATGGGTTCATTTATTCAATAGTACTCACTTGTCACACTGAACACTCTTGTAGGGTTGCTCAATTATGGAAATATCATCATCACGTTTCTTTAAAATCAGTGACGAGGGGGCTGCTTCACAAAAGTCTTTTAGAAAAGCAGGGACTAAAGTCAAAAACCTGACTTCAATGAGCCAAACTAAACGTCCACGCTTAAATTGGCTCCATAACAGCAAGCTGAAGATCATTTGATCTAACTAATCTGAGTTGAGTTTAAATAATCTAGATTACTGCTCATGCATGTTACTGTCATACAACCCTGAAAGTCGAGCATAGATGCATTGATTAGTTTGTGTGCTACAATGGTGACTATGAGAAATGAAAACGCTCTGAAATGAGACACAGCTATGTTCACAGTAGCGTTAGATTTTAAAGTTCAAACATTTAATAATTTAAACATAATAATCAAAAACTATGGCTCACAACAAAGCAAGAGAAAAGGCTGAAAGGAAACTGCAGATTTTAAAATATAGGCCATTATTTAGGCCTATTAACAATAAATTAGATATTTGTCACAATATATTGAAATTGTGCGTGAGAGAGAGAGAATACACGCTTACTGCCAATTGTTGTATACAAAGAAAAGTTTTAATGTATTGCAGGCTCCCTGTAACATTCAAACGTGCTTAACGTGAGCCATTAAGTTTAAAATAATGGAAACAAAGAGCCGTGCACCCACAAGTTGTGGAATTTAAAATTTGCTTCCAAAAATGCTGCAAATTGCTGCTTTTCCTTTGACACGTGTGTTCCTCGCGGCCCGTAAGAAAATAATTTTTATATTAAAGTGAGGCTATTGCTCACTTAGACTTACTTTGCGTCCTGTAAATAGCGAATGCGCTCTTGGCGCGACGCAGCTGGCTCTTAAAGGGAATGAGAGATGAGACTCTAATTGGTTTATACTCAAAACACACCTATAACTCATTAAGAAAACAAACTCAACCCTCTTAGACCATGCGCCACGGTGCAAGGCAGATTTTCCCGTCCTTAAATTAGCAAAAACGTGTCCTGACACGCCCTGAAAGCGTTTGCGCCCTGCGTTTTGACTGGACTGTCAAAATAGAGCTGAAATCTTTAAAATATAACATTATAAAAACAAAAAATAACCTGTATGATTGTTTTTTTCCTTCGTTATCCACCGCGATAGGTTCTTTATCCATAATGATCCTGTTTGAAATGACCGCGCAAAAAAAGAACTTGTACTGCACATGATCGGTGACCTCTCTCAGTATTGTTTTTGTTTTTTAAGGGGACGTTTCCCAAACACTGACCGAGCCACGCCCGTTTTACGTTGAGGTAATGAAACCTCTGGAATTTATTGCATGCCGTAAAATGACACTGGTGAAGTGCATTGGACAAACGCAAACTGTCCAAATATTGCAAAAAGACTTTTGTTTACACTAACCGAACAACAAATATAATGCACATAAACCGTCAGCACAGTGAAAAACTACTGTCACGGACGTCTACACGAAAAACAAATATTAATAAGCCAAACCATGCGGGCAGGGTGATTTGCAACTCCTCTGCAACTAAATAATTATACAAGTAATATTGATTATTCACCTTCATAATCATGTTCAACTCATGCTTCTATTCTACTATATAATTATTATATAGTGGTATATAATTTTATCATCAGTAACTTAACGCCAGTGGCCAGTCCCCTGGATCAGAGGGCCACCTCTACATGCTGCTCTCTGTTTTAGGAAAGGCTTACCACTCCACATCAGCCATCTCAGTCTCCAGTGAAAGAGTTTTCTCATCAGTAGGGGACATTGTAAATGCGCAAAGACCTCAGCTTATACCAGGAAACAGCTTATGCTTATTTTTCTTTTTATAAATGCCAAAGTCACAGTTTTAGTCTGTTTATATTAAAGAGTCTTCTTTAGTTTGTATTGTTCCTTTTTTATTTATTGTTTTCAAAAAAGCAATTTAATTATGGCAGAAAATATATTATTTTGCTAAAAATTTTGCAGCATTTTAGAAAAAAAAAAATATTAAATTTAAATTTGTTTCAAATATTTTTTTTTAAATCGTGACTAAATCATGAATCGTGAGATTAGTATCATCATAAATCAAATTGAATCGTGAGTCAGGTGAATCGTTACATCCCTAGCTATGACTTACGCTAACAGATTTGAATGCCAACCCCAGGTGGAAACAGTGTTGAACCTTGACGTATCACATGAGTTCAGATCGCTGTGATTGTATGTTAGTTCTAGAAATAATAAAGGCACTTGTTTTACGTGTTCTTTGTCTTTGCAGTGCGGCTGTATAACTGCTCTGTGGGCCGCTCAGACTGCAGTCGCTGTCACACGGCTGATCCGCAGTACGGGTGTGTGTGGTGTGAAGGGTCTCCCTCCAGCTGCGTCTACAAGAGCTCCTGCACTGAACATGTCCAGCAGACCTGCCCTGCACCTCACATACACACGGTGAGGAAATGACATTGCGCAGATTGCTTTTCCTAAAGGGATAAAGGTCAGGATGGCAACCCATGCAAATGACACTGTAGGTTTTTGTTTTTGGGAGGGGAAAAAGTAAAGGCTATGACAGAATAGTTGGCGGTTCATTCCGCTGTGGCAACCCCTGATAATTCAGGCACTAAGTCAAACGAAACTGAATGAATGAATGAATGAAAAAGAAAAAGCTTGTAAAGTAACATGCAAAGAACAGATAAAGAGTAATAAAATCCTGGACACTGATCTTTCACTTGTGCCCTTCTGTTCTGTTCTATGGTGAATGGTAATAACAAGAGTTGTCTATTTGGGCAATACATTCAATTCAAGTGCACTTCTGCTGTAAAACAGTCCCTGATTGATGTTTAGTCATCGTCCCAATATAAAGCTATAATACAGTCATATATATAGTATATATGTTCTCCCCGTGTTGGCGTGGGTTTCCTCCTGGTGCTCCGGTTTCCCCCACAGTCCAGAGACATGCGCTATAGGTGAATTGGGTAAACTAAATTGGTCGTAGTGTATGAGTGTGCGTATGAATGTGAGTATGTAAGGGTGTTTCCCAGTACTGGGTTGGGGCTGGGGGGCATCCACTACGTAAAACAAATGCCAGAATAGTTGGTGGTTCATTCTGCTGTGGCAACCCCTGAAAAATAAGAGACTAAGCCGAAGAAAAATGAATGAGTATACAGTCAAATGAGTATATCTCAAAGAGATAAAAATATATAAAAATAAAAAATGAAATATTGGAGTTGCAAGTATTTAAATGGAAAGCCAAGTCCAAAATGTGATATATTATTTAGGATTGCATGTAATTATAGTAATACTATGCACACACACACACACACACACACACACACACACACACACACACACACACACACACACAGACTCACACTGTATTTCCCCTTTATATTATACAGTACAATTTATATTATTTTAGCTAACAGAAGTTAGTTAACCTAATTATTCCATCTTTCCTTTGTGTGAAGTGTTCCTGTAAAAAACTGCCTAAACTTAATTGTGAGAAGATTCTTTCCAAATCCTCTTTTTTCTTTTTTTTTAAATAAACATTATTCTCCTTGAAGGGGTGACCCTTGTCTTTTAAATGTTGCGCTTTCTCACCCCGAGGGCTTTTCAATTCCAGTCTGACCTGCTTATTTATACAGTAACTGTTTTGTCTGCTGCATGTACAAACAGATCACAGATTTTCACCTGACATGATGAGCTAATGACCTCATAGCCATTTGCGTGCAGTGACTTGAGCCTTTACCTTAGGGAAAATCTGCAGTGTTGGAGTTTAAATATGGTTGCCAGTTTTCTGTTTGGTTTCTAGGTGGAAGATAAATTAAGAAAAATGTGCTTTTGTGCTTTTTTAAGGGGATGTTTATATCAAAAGTGACAATAGAGACATTTAATAATATTACATTAGATTTATATTTTACTTATCAGTCCAATTAAGTTTATTTTACAAAAAATCGTGCTTAATCTGGGCATGACGAAAGGGTTAGATCGCATTCTCTCCTCAAGTCACACCGCCCCTCAAACACACATGAACATTGTGATTGGCTGTGCTTTTCTCTGCTGTCATGTGAGGGCTGCATTCAGAAGTAGCAACACCAAAACTGTGGGAGAATTTCGGTAAAGTCTAGAGTGAATATTCGGCTGGCTAGGAGTGCCACATGCACATTAATAAAGCAGCATTTTTTATGACTCTGTATAACAATAATGAATATTTTTACAGTACTTTACTGTATTTTACAGTGACAGTTGGGTTTAGGGTTGGGGTAGGGGTAGACGTTAAAAATAAAATGTATTGGGTAATTTAATAAATAACATAAATAATACTCTGTACAGCTACTGTTTTTACCTTACTGTGAGGGTTGGGATTAGAGTTGGACATTAATAGACGTTAATAAAATACAATAAATAGGAAATTTTATAAATAATATAAATAATTATCGTTAACTTCCAGCTGCGTAGGGTGACGCAGCGGCACAGTAGGTAGTGCTGTGGCCTTACAGCAAGAAGGTCGCTGGTTCAAGCCTCGGCTGGGTCAGTTGACGTTTCTGTGTGGAGTTTGCATGTTCTCTCCTCGTTCGCGGGGGTTTCCTCTTGGTGCTTTGGTTTTCCCCACAGTCCAATACATGTGGTACAGGTGAATTGGGTAGGCTAAATTGTCCGTAGTGTATGAGTGTGTATGAATGTTTCCCAGAGGTGGGTTGCAGCTGGAAGGGTATCCGCTGCGTAAAACATATGCTGGATAAGTTGGCGGTTCATTCCGCTGTGGCGACCCTAGATTAATAAAGGGAGTAAGCTGAAAAGAAAATGAATGAATAAATAAATAAACTTCCGGCCCGCAACTGTATCCGATCAAGAAACAACCGTTTTCACGTGCAAGAATAAGGTGTGTCGCACACAAGTGCGGAAAGTGGCAGCAAAAAAATGTTTTATGAATTTTTATGAAAAGTGTAAGTAAACGCAAGTTCGCTACTAAATGAATCTATGATGATGATGTCGTTAAAGCTCTAGTTTTAACACACAGTGTATCGGTTTACCAGACTGATATAGTCTGTTTCTTATATGCCTTGGGGCATATTAGAACTTGTTGGGAAAACCAGAGCATGTGAAAAACCCACACCAACATAGGGAGAACATGCAAACTCCACACAGAAATGCTAACTGACCCAGCTGAGGCTCAAACCAGTGACCTTCTTGTTGTAAGGAGACATCACTACCCACTGCACCACTTATTGTATTGCAGTGCGATATGGCTGTTTATTAGTATCAGTAGTGCATTCCTTTGTTCCAACATGATCATAACTATAAGTTTTTTATTTATTTATAAAAAATATTCTCCCTATTCACCTGCAGTGTCTTGGCTAAAGTGATAATTTATTGAAAATATTTACTTTACTTAACTTCAGCACCTTCAAGATGCAGGTGACTTTTGTTCTTTAGTAGGGCATTAAAGAGGATTTTTAGCTCAAATTGTCTCCTAGGAGATTTATGAAAATGCAATTTGACAGCAACTGGCATTTTCAGAGTAAAAATAACATCTAGAGACCAAACTAAATGAATACATTTAACTCTTGACAATACATTGATGTCATATGACGTGAAATCTTTAATGTCAGCAGTATTACCTTTACTCCACAGGGTGCATTCATGATAGTCTGAAGCTTTTATTCATTGTACATGTAAATCTTTTCTGTTTTCTTGCAGATTGAGCCTCTGTCTGGTCCAGTGGAGGGCGGCACAGTGGTCACCGTGTCTGGCTCTAATCTGGGCCAGAGAGCTGAAGACATCCAGCACTCAGTGAGTGTAGCAGGAGTCTCCTGTTCCGTCATCCCAGACAGATACGAGGTGTCCTCCAGGTACATCACCACAAACTAATCTCATCACATTACTAGCACTGGTTTATAACAGTGTATTAAATAGTGCCTCTGGGATTTTTTGGGCGAAACAAATTAATTATTGTGACTAAAATAGTAAGTTTTGTAGCAAGTTTTTGCTGATTTTGCGACATTGCTTTTATCGTTTTGCTGTGAAACATTTACACATCTTAATTATAATTTTTTTTTTCTTCTATTCAGCATTATTTGTATAGCGCTTTTACAACGTGGATTGTGTCAAAGCAGCTTCACATAAATGGTCATAGTAACTGGAACAGTGTAGTTTAGTTTTTAGTTTTTTAATTTTTGTGACCTAAAGTATCATTGATCTCTGTAGTCTGTAATTTATATAAAGGAAACACTGACAGAAACAGAGTAAAACTAGTTTACACCATATTTTAAATAAGACCAGTAGTTTGAAAATAAATGCAGTCTGTGTTGGATGATGGCTGTTTGAACACATTGGCGGAAATAATGCAGAGCATGTGCACTTATATGTGTGTGCGCTTGTATGTCTGTCGTGCCTGTGTTTGTGTGTATTTGAGAGAGAGAGAGAGAGAGAGAGAGAAAGAAAGCTAAACTTATGACAGCAGACACATATATAGAATATAAAGGATCGAAGCGAATAATACAACTCATGTGGTCTAGTTTGAACAGGCTTTGAAGGCGTATTGTGATAATGTCACATAAAACAGATCACACAACCAATAAGTAGTGTGTTTTGAGGCTTTGCACTCTAGAACAGCACATTCTGTTTGCGAATACTGTAATGTTTTTGAATGTAATACTATGCAGATGGTACGGTGGCTGAGAGAGCCTAATGTGCTGCAATTGCAAAAAAACACCAGCAAATTCAGAACAGATCTTCATTGGTTGAACAGCAAACGTGTTGCAAATCCTCACAATGCAAACAAATTAAGAAAACACGCTGCAAATTTTTACAAATCAAACAAATGAAGAAAATACGCTGCAGGTTCTCACAATACATACAAATAGCACTGAACACAAGGGAAATGTTTCAAGGGGACACGAAAACATGACGAACTGGTTTATACTTCTGCACTCTGTTTCTGTCGTTCTGCAATAACGCTTCCGAAACGCTAGTTGGCAGTAAGGTGTTAATGTTCCTCTGTGTTGAGTTTCTTCGTTGGTGTTTTGTTTTTTTCTGAACGCTTCCTTAATGTTCAAGTGGCTCAAACTCACTCATTTTGAGGCTGGAACCGGCGGACATGCAACAACTTTAACCATGAGGTAAACGCAAACCAAAACTTTCCATGCGGAGCTCCTTCACGGGCCTCTACACTAGTAAACAGTCGCTCCATCGGGCTCGCACAGCTCTCGGCCCCGCCCAGACTAGTCAACTCTACCAAGCCGACCAATCACAGAGCTTGCGCTACGTGTCGTTGCAACATGTAGTTACATTTTTAGAAAGTTGCGCGTCAGCGCTGCTAACGGCCATGGCGTAGGGTTATGCGTCACCGCATGGGCTGCGCCGTAGCATACGAATGCGCTTGATGCAGAAGTATAAATCAGCCTTAAGGCTAACAATATATGGCAGACAAGGGAATTGTGTAATCTGAAAATCAAACTAAACAAAAAACCCACTCTTCAATGATCACCTACAACTTCACTGAGCGATAGTCACGGCACTATAAAGCTGCTTCTGAAAATGCTTAATTCCATACTTTATAGTGCGCTAAAAACAGTAAGGGAGCCAAGTAGTATATCCAAAGTCATAGAATTCGAAAAACAGTATATGTGAGAAGTACCCGGACTACTTTCGGCGAGATTCTAAAGTGTGCCTCTGATGGACACTACGCTATACTGTAATGCACCATGAGAGAATTCATGAATGGGAGTGAAGCGATGCAACTGACACTGGTAGGTCACGTGATCATGACAAAATGGCGGATGTAGTACGTCTGAGTGTCATTCATACTACTCGCATTCATACTGTATAAAACGTACTTTTCTAACTGCTGAGTAGTACGTTTAAATTTCAATGCAGTACCTACTGAATAATAGGCGAATTCAGCCCCAGCTTAAGCAAATCTCAGCCGGGTCCATCACATTTTTGGGTCCCCTTGAAACATTTCCATATGTTCTGTGCTATTTGCATGTGTTTTGAGAAATTGCAGCTTGTTCTCTTAATGTGTTTGCGTTGTGAGGATTTGCAGTACGTGTGTTGTCAAACTGATAAAGATCTTTTTTTAATTTGCTAGTATCTTTTGCAATTGCATGCGTTTTCTTAAATTGCAGCACATTAAGCTCTTTCGGCCGCCGTAAGATGGTGCTCTGTGGTGTGGTGGGACTTTAAAACATGTCCTGACTGCTCAAAATGACCGGGAAATCTGCGACAATTGAAAACATTTTGTAAAGTTTGCTTGATTTTGCCTTAAATTCATGTTGCTATCATTTACTCACCACCATTTGTTTTAAACCTGCTTGAGTTTCTTTCTTCTGTTTAACACAAAAGAAGTTACTTTGAAGAATGTTGGAATCCAGTAGCCATTGACTTTCATAGTATTTACTTCCTACTACTGTGAATGGCAGCAGGTTTCCAACTTCTTCAAAATATCTTCTTTTGTGTTCAACAGAAAATGTTTATTTTAATTTTAAATGTTAATTTTTGAGTGAACTGTGCCTTTAATGTGGTGCAGTGTGGTGATTTGTGTATTAAGCCAGTGTTGTGTGTGTATGTGTGCCGTCAGTATTGTGTGTGAGACTGCAGCTAGTGTCGGAGAACAGAGCGGCCACGTCTCAGTGCAGGTCAGAGGAGGAGGAATCGGTCAGTCTGCACAGCGCTTTCACTACCAGGTGAACATTAATCTTTCCTGCAACAAAAAGGAATGAAAATGGCTAAGCAAGAATGCATGAAATGGCTGGAATTCATTCAGTGTTTATTAAAGGTACTGAAGTGTTTGACTCTATTACAGCAACGTTTATACTGCAAAAAGAGTTTTCTTTACCAGAGTTTTTTAAACTTTTTTTTATTAAACTTTTAATTATGTTTTGAGAGCTTAGTTGTTAATGGAAACTTTAAATTATTGATAATGTAAAATTAAATTTTAGCTTCAAATATGATAATAAAACTGACATAAATGTAAAATATTTTAGGTTAACAATAATAATAATATGAAATGTAGAATGAGGAATATAGAATACACTGAATGACATTATACACAATAAAGGTTTTTAAAAATGAATTAAAACAAAACAATTTTAGGAATATTATTACAATACTTAAAATAGTTTTTAATTTACATTTTAGTTATTTTTACTGGAAACCAAGAGTAATATATAATGCAATGCAAGTTTATTTATATGGCACATTTCATACACAGGGTCAATTCAAAGTGCTTTACTTAAACAGGAATAAAAGAAACATGTATAAGAAAATGCTAACAAATAATATAAATAATTAATAAAAGATAAAACGTAATAAATTAAAATGTGTTAAAACAAGGCAATGCAAGTTTATTTATATAGCACATTTCATACACAGTGGCAATTCAAAGCGGTTTATATAAACAGGAATAAAAAAGACAAGTATAAGAAAAATAAAAAACAATATTAAAATGATAAAAAAACAGATAAAAACAAATAAAAATTTGTTAAAACAGATTATAAAAGAATGAAAAAGAAAATAAAGATTAAAAAATAAAAATAATAATAATAGTGTGATCTGTCGGACTTAGCACAGTGCTCATTCAGTAAGGGCACAGCTAAACAGATGTGTTTCAGTCTGGATTTGAATGTGCCTAATGTTGGAGCACATCTAATCATTTCTGGAAGCTGATTCCAGCAGTGGGGGTGTAGTAGCTGAAAGCTGATTCACCCTGCTTTGACTGAACTCTTGGAATTTCTAGTTTACTAGATCCTAATAATCTGAGTAATCTGTTAGGTTTGTATTCTGTGAGCATATCTGTAATGTATTGAGGTCCTAGGCCATTTAATGATTTATTGACAAGTATTATTACTTTAATACTTTAACTCTGAATTTAACAGGGAGCCAGTGTAAAGACCTGAGGACAGGTGTGATGTGCTCTGATTTTCTAGTTCTGGTCAATATCCTGGCAGCAGCGTTCTGGATGAGCTGCAACTGTATGACTGTCTTTTTGAGAAGGCTAGTGAGGAGGCAGTTACAGTAATCCACCCTGCTGCTGATAAAAACATAATGCAATATTTACACAAATTAAAAGGAAAAGGGTGTTTTAAAAAGGAATATTTATAGTAATATTTATACATCAGGTAGAAAAAAAACTATTCGAGTTGAAAAAAAAAAACAATTTTAAAAAACTTAATAAATGTTTTTTCAATTGTTATTTTTATTGCAACAAATGTTTTATGAATCATTTTACTTTTTGTAACATTATCTTCATTTTAAATAACTTTGAACAGTAATATCAAGAAAATTAAACCATATACTAACCTTCGGCCGAGTCTCTGTTTAAGTGGTCACCACAGCGGAATGAACCGCCTTAATTAAATTTAATTAAATTGGATTAGGTGGCACAGTAGGTAGTGCGGTCGCCTCACAGCAAGAAGGTCACTGGTTCAAGCCTCGGCTGGATCAGTTGGCAATTCTGTGTGGAGTTTGCATGTTTTCCCCGCGTTCGTGTGGGTTTCCTCCGGGTGCTCTGGTTTCCCCCACAGTCCAAATACATGCGGTACAAGTGAATTGGGTAAGCTAAATTGTCCGTAGTATATGGGTGTGTATGGATGTTTTCCAGATGGATTGCAGCTAGAAAGGCATCCGCTGCGTAAAGCATGCGGAATAAGTTGGCGGTTCATTCCACTGTGGCGACCCCAGATTATTTTAGGGACTAAGCCGAAAAAAAAATTATAAATTAAATTGCTTTAAACAAGTTAGTATAGTTACTCTTAACCGACTTCAAACTACTTTCAGTATATCTAGATCATTAAAAAAATTAATAAAAGCATTTATTTATTATTAAGGTTTCCCTTTTTCAAGAAATCATTCTCCCCTACCATATAAATTATACCGTATTTATTGATTATAGTTTTTAACCAAAGATTAAATCCTGTATGTACACTTTTACTTATAAAAATCGTATACAAAGTATATCTTATTTTACGCATTTTTCTATATTTTTACCTTAATCCAAGACAAAAATAAAATAAGTTATTTAGGGCCTTTAATAGGATGAGATCATTGATATAACAGCTGACATGAATAAACCAGTGTTTTCTGATGTGTGGTATGTGTGTGTGTTTTCCTCAAGAACCCAGTATTATTGGCAGTGTCTCCCCTGAAAGGCCCAATGTCAGGCGGCACGTCACTCACTATAACGGGACAAAACCTTCTGACGGGCCGCTCCAGTGAGATCAGCATCCTGATTGGCGGAGTCCCCTGTCACATGTAAGTGTGTGTGCAGCCTCGTCCAATCAAATTTCAGGATTTCATCATGATGTCATACATTATTAACCTGTATCATCTCAGCTCTTTACGTCAGAAATAATTCATCATCCTTCTGGTAAAAAAACTAAATGAAAATGGTGAGCAGTGTCTTCAATATGTCAGTTCAGAAGCTGCATTTACTCCTTAAAGTGATAGTTCACACAAAAATGAACATTTTACCTTTTTGTTTCTTCTGCAAAGACAAAAGAAGAGAATTTGAAGAATGTTGCAAACCTATATCCACTTCCGTACTATTTTCTCCGCTACTATGGTTGTCAGTGGTCTCCAACATTCTTCAAAATATGTTCTTTTGTTCAATGGAAGAAAGAAGCTTATTAAGGTTTGTTACCACTTAAAGGCAAATAAACAGAATACTTTTTTTTATATTTAAGAGTGAACTGTCCCTTTAAGTTTCACAGGATGTACTGGTGTTAACATGTGGTATGATTGAATAGCTCATTGGCAGGGAACCTTTTTTACTCAAGGGTCATTTACATTTTTGTAAATCATTTAGGGTCCACTCTACATTATTCAACATGCTGTATATATCACTACCCTCTCCACTGCAATGGTTGGAACTACTTCACTTTGGCAAGGCCACTTTTTAAACGATAATCCAAATTTGTTCATTGCCAAAACAACTTGCTCAAACATATCCTCACCTTTGGTAGTGCTGCGCATGGCTTGTAAAGACAGCAATTCCTCTGTCGTTTGGACAGATGATGGCTAGTTGGGCGGTGTTCGTGATGTCCTTTGTTTCATCACAGGCTAGAAAGAAAAACTACAATTTTTTCCAGTGTCATAAGTGTTGTTTTAATGTTTGCCACATCAGTTATTTGTTCTGAGACAGTTCTTCAAGATAAACTTACACTCTGAAAATGTTTTACTTATCTATCGCTACTCTACAATGGCAATAATACACTCTTACATGAGCTCTTCTTCTGAATGAGGTCTGAGTTCTTTAGCTATTGGCTCACTTAACGCAAAACTTTCTCTTTTTCAAAATGCTGTTTTTGCGAAAGCTGCTTGTTAGGCACCCAAACTACACCAAAAAGTGTAGAACTTTATTCAAGTGCATTTTTTTCCTTGCAGCTCTTTGAGTTTAGCATGCTTTGAGTTGTAATGACACTTTTTTTCATCACTGCAAGCTCATTCTCACAGACTAGGCACACCAGCTTGCTTTTGATTAAAAAAAAAAAAAAAAAAAAAAAACATTTTTAAGAAATATGTGACATTCTGCATCTAGTTTTTTTGCCTGGAGCCATGATTATTATGCATATTGCACGTTCACGCCAGTTGTAACTCTGGCATTGGGATATATGGATTTAATATTAGTATATAATATCTATATTATATTTCAATTTTATTTATTTATTTAAAAAATATTTTTATTTACTGTCACTTTCTGTCATAGACACTTAATTTTTAATTCTTTCCTGATGGGTGATTATGAATTGACTGATGGGCCAGATCAAATTGTGTCACGGGCCGCATATGGCCCGGAGGCTGGACGTTCCCCACCCCTGGATTAGCTGGATGACAGTTAATATGAAGAGTTCAGATGCAAAAACCTCTAAGTGCTGTCTGAAATCATCTGAAATAAGCATTTTTCTCAGCATCCTATGATTATGTTCTGTTATTTGACTTCAAAGGCAATGCAAACAACCTATTTTTTTGTCAAAAATGTGGATTTACTAAAAGGAGGTTTTTGCATCTAAACTCTTCATATGATCTGTAACAGTAATATGTACTAATTAACACTGTATGTATTAACAGTAATATGGTGTGTGTTGTCAGTTTACCGGAGCAGTTTAGCAATGAACGTGTTGAATGTGTGACCGGAGGCAGTAACAGGACTGGAGAGAGCGGCGTTACTGTGCGGTTTGGTAGAGCTGAGCGCCATCTAAAGGAGACCCACTATCATTACACCCCAGACCCCAATGTTACCCATGCTGCACCCTCCAAAAGCTTCATCAGGTAAGACTTTATTTAGCTTCATTTTTTTACATATTATTTCACAAATTGCTTGTTAGCGAATTTAAGAAGGTTTTGATTTATTTTTCAAATTATAAACAAAGACTTTGCCAGTGGTGTGAAAAATATAATGCTGATATGTTGTTTAATATGCAATACATCGATAATAATCATATATAAATATTACAAATATTTATCTCTGAAAAACGTACATTCCAACAAAAAGCAAACGTGTCTTGTTTAGTCACACTTGTGTCTTATTAGTGTATTAATGAAACATTGTGCTTTACAAATGATACATTTGGTAAATGGGATGAGAGAATACAGTTGAGGTCAGAAGTATTAAGCCCCCTGTTTATTTTTTCCTTTTTCCTTAATTTATAAACAGAATAGTTTTAATAACTCATATCTAATAACTGATTTATTTTATCTTTGCCATGATGACAGTAAATAATATTTGACTAGATATTTTTCAAGACACTTTTATAAAGCTTAAAGTGACATTTAAAGGCTAAACTAGGTTAATTAGGTTAATTAGGTTACAGTTTTTCTTGTTTGCTTTGACCTGGTTAAAGAAACTAGGTTCCACTTCATTTTCATTTTCACTATCCCAGCAGAGCAAAAGACCGGTCTTGCAAATGTGTAAACGCTTTCTCATTGGGTTGACACATTTTCCCCACCATTTTTCAAAACAGTTAACACAGATGTCATTCAAGCAGTCCAAACTCCATTGTTTTAGTTATGGTAACCAAACAGAAACCATCTATTTCTAACCATTAGAAACTACCAACATCAATATGAATTCACTGAAGCACCGGTTTGACACTCCTTCACACAAATCTTCAAAAAGCAATCAGTCTGCAAACCTTATAAAACGGTAGAAGGTCTGTGTTGTTCTGTGCCAGCATGGGTGAAGGAGGTCAATAGTGGCTATGTCCTTTACTCCTAATAAATTTGACTGTATATTGGTTTACATGTGTTTTCTTTAATATTTACAGTATTTTATTACTTTTGTCTGTTTTTACAGTATTTCAGTTTTCAATTGTCGTGAATTCAATATAAATGTAATCAAAGCATTTCTTATTCTGGATTCAATTCTTTGCAAAAAGGCAAATTTGACAGCACAAATAGAAAGACAACAAATGGCATTGGCAATAGGCTACAATGACAAACAATGGTGGTGCACTGACTTCTGTATTTTGTATTTTGTTGTCCGTTGTGTAATGATTAATTGAAAGAGCTCATATACCTGTTTGCAAGTTGTGTTGTTTGAAGGTAAAACTAGCTTTTGTTGCATATTGTAAAGGTTTTAACACGATATGTGCCTTTTATATAGGGGCTAATAATATTGACCTTAAAATGTTGTTTAAAAATTAAAAACTGCTGAAACGACAGTTTTTTCATGATTGCTAGCACACTAAAATTCAACTTTTCCCACAATTAGCAAAACCGTACACTTAAGGAGCAAAACACAGAGCTAGATCTGCACAACTGTAAGCACATTGTCAGCTTCACACTTTTTGCAAAACATTACACACAGTGATATGCAAATCACTAAACACTTGGATGCTTTTGACACAGAAATTTTTCATAATGGAATTTCCTTGCAATTTTAAAGCAAAGGCCTTCAAATGAACACACACAAACCAAAGGTTAAACAGAGCCATCAGGTGTGCACACACACTGCTGCAAAGTTGTAGACACACCAATCAGCTGGAACCACAGTAAAGAAAGCAACAGGTATAAATTATTAGTCTTCAATAAACATGTTTACAGTAGTATAGCAATAAATAGTTGTCTTTAAGAAATATGTTTTACATGAGCTATAAATATTAATCTTCAATAAATAAGCCAATATTGCGGTATGGAAGAGGAAGCTTGAAAGTGAGGAAGATTGGTAAACAGGAGACAGGGAATGGAATTTTTTTATATTGAAATATTTACATTACCAGAAAGCTGAATAAATTGGATACTGTATACATTGTTGTATGGTTTGTTAGGATAGGGCAATATTTAGCTATCAGTATATCATTGTTTGGTGTATACACAATGTACATGTACTTAATTGCAATATCTCTTAAACCCTGATTATATCGGTATTGGTCAGTTAAAAATGATACAAATGTTTAAGATTGATTACAGCAGTGTGTAAATGAAGCAAACAGGTTTATATTGAATGGAGCGTGTGTGAAAATAACTGTTAAGAAATAAGACTTTCTCCAGAAGAAAAAGTATTATCAGACATACTGTGGAAATTTACTTGCTCTGTTAAACATAATTTTGGAAATATTTAAAAAAAGAAAGAAAAAATAATAAATTTAGGGGGGCTGATAATTCTGACTTCAACTGTACCTGATTACTTTTAGTGTGCAATTCAACAATGTGTATTTATTAATTAATTATTAATATTATTATTAATAATATTAATTAATTAATTAATGTATTAATTAATTAATTAATTAATTAATTTATTGATTTATTTATTTATTTATTTATTTATTTATTTATTTATTATTAATTAATTAATTAATTAATTTATTTATTTATTTATTTATTTATTTATTTATTTATTTATTCATCTTTTATTTATTTTATTTTTTTCCGTTATTTTGGAAGATATTTACATATAATTAATAAAGGAAGTTATTGTAATGCTGGAGCATATCACAAGTATTTTTACAACTCCAACTAAGAACTTTTTTTCATATTTAATAAAAAAAATGTTTGTGTAATTTTCATTGCATTATGTATTTAAGTTTTTTTTTAAATAAGAAATCAAGATTTGTCAAGGATGTACAGTATAGAATACATAAAATGTCAAATCGGTGCCCAATGTGTTGTGTTATGTAGATTTGGGCAATACAATATACTAGTCACATTCACAATATTGTTTCAGTATATAGCACATAAATATATTTATTCTGTATTCCATAGTCTGTAGTTTTGAGATTTACTATTATTTTTACTAAAATAGTAACTATTATTAAACTGTTATTATTATATTATTTTATTATTATAATGATTAAAACAATCATCTTTAATTAAAAATATATATTTTAATAGTATTTTTAGTGTATTATTTATTGATATTTAGACCATAAACCATACTGTTCCATAAAATGTACAGTATAGAATCAAGGACAGATTTACCCATAAGCAAGGTAAGCGGCCGCTTAGGGCCCCAGGACATCTGGGAGCCCCCAATAAATATCTAGAAGTATAAATTTTATACCTATAAACTAACATCGTTTTTTATCATATTTTTTATAGTGAAAGTTAAACAAATAAAATGTTTATGTAATGTAACAATATTTATATACAATAAAATATAATAATATTATAAAAGCATAATGTTTTACATTAATAATAATATTATGGAAAAATATATCCACCACCCTCGATCATGGAGCAGTCCAGCAATCAAACTCATAAAAAATATATTATTGTTATTATTAGTTGCAAATTCCTTTTAAGACATCTAATTATTTAAAATGTAAAGCTTACATTAAGATAGAAAGTAGAAGATTAAAGTATGAAGACTGAGAGATATAAAAAAAAAAGCTAAATAAATAAAAATCAAATAAAAGTAGAAAGGGTGCATTTCAGGACTTGGGGCCTCATGGCTGAAGTTGCTTAGGGCCCCCAAATCACTAAATCCACCCATGTATCTACTATTATATTTTTACACTTTTAGCAAACTACAGTATATATATTATAATTATAAATGGTCTTTTTGGCCAGGTTAAGGGATTTTGTTTTTACTTATACATTTATGCACTCTTTTCTGTTTTAAGAATGTTTTGAGAACAATATATGACAGTTTTACTATTTAGCAAATCAATCATATTTATTCTTTCATCTATCATTTTGAGAGGTTAAAGCATTATTGTTAGTCCAGCACGAGTGATTAGTGTGTGTGTGTTTGTGTCAGCGGTGGACGAATCATCCGAGTGGCTGGTCAGCATCTGGACGTGGTGCAGGAGCCCCGTATCCGTGTGACCCTCACGCCTCTGGAGCCACACTCACAAAAGAAGAAGAAGAAGAAAAAGAGGAGGAGCGCGGTTCACAGTCTGCTCAGGAGAGAGCGCCGTATCGTCCCAGAGCACAACTGTCCCGAAGGCAGCCTGTGTGTCCGCAAACAGGTACAGTTCACTCAAGTGAGTCTGAGCTACTCTTCTGATCCTGAAATAATGGAAACAATATTGCTTCTCCGCAGTATCTATACTACTTGGGCCCTATGCAAAGAGTGTGTAGAGCCCCCTATCTTATTATTCGTGATCTATGCTATTTATCACTTCTTTAGTTAAATAATTTTACTTGGTTATCGCTGGCAAATCACTGATGTAAAATCATCCAACAGCATTATAAAGATTAATATCATTTTTTTTTTTAAGATTTGCATTAGTTTTAATGCAGCATAGAATAATTGTTGTATAAATTGTGCATTAATTGATGATAAATATTTTATTCTATGAATAGTGTATCCCAAGTTTTCCCTTAGGTAGCTTTAAGATTTTAATTATTTATTGTATTAGCTGCAATACAAGCCTGTGAAGGACCTGCTACTGAATTGTCTGTAGTGTTTATACTGTAAAAAAAGAAATATTATGTTTGATCACATTACCGTTTTCAAAACCTGCCTTTATATATCTATATATATATATATATATATATATATATATATATATATATATATATATATATATATATATATATATATATATGTGTGTGTGTGTGTGTGTGTGTGTGTGTGTGTGTGTGTGTGTGTGTGTGTGTGTGTGTGTTTTCATAATTTTCTCTTAAAAATGGTTTCAGATCTGCATTTTACATGTTTAGAGTTTGGATTAATCATGTTAGTCATCGGTTTTGGAACATTTTGTTTTAAGTAGGCAATCGCAGACTAATTGGATCAATAACTTTCAACCGTTAAACACAGTTTAAAGTAAAGTAACACCTGAGGCATGTGATAGCAGTCATTAAAATTAATCAACAACAAAAGACAAAGTGACTGTTAGTCACTATTTGCTTCTCTATATTTGTCATTTGTCTTCAGCAGGCACGTGCACACATAGGGCTCAACCTGTGCAGTGCACATGCCCTTTTTAGTATTTGATAGAAAGTGCCCTACCAAAATGATCAAAAGTGCCCCCGCGACACACCCCCTCCCCCCTACCGCCCTTTAGTAGATGCGCGACAACACCGCTCTTGAGTACGCCCCCCCCTCTTTACTTTACACGCGCGATAACACCCCTCTTCAGTACGCGGACGACAACAACGACCCCCCCCTTCAAAAAATTTATCCTGCACATGCCCTTTGCACAGTCTCTGCACGGGCCTGGTCTTCAGTAATGTGTTAATTAGGGTAAGTTAGGCTAATATTTGGTTTGCTAGTTTTTATTTATTAGAATCTTACATGGTTCAAAGCAATGAAAACAAGAAAACATTTTTTTTTTGACTCCTTTATGGTTTAATTTGGTTCATTAAAAAAAAATTGTCAGGGCAAGTGAAAATCTGAACAAATATCCTGACTGGACCAGTAGCAAATTTCTTCAAAATTGAGCCTTGCTTGAGATATACAATTTTGCAAGTAAAGAAAAATTAAACATTCACACATATTGTCAATTGAATTATTGCTTTGTTTTGCCAAAATTTTTGGCAAAAAAATTTTTGCAAGGAAAGATGCAAGCACATTGCTCCATTTGTGCACGCATATTGTCATATATTCTTACATTAGAAATAACAAACTTGCAAGCGGAAAAGACATAAAGTGGGAACGGGCACTTCTATAGCACGTCATTTCATAACTATAGCGGCCGTTTTTCGACTGAACTAAACTTTATTTATGATGTCAGGTCACGCTATTTGGAGGGCCGGAACAAATTGCCTCAGGGGCCTGTTTCGACCTGCGGGCCTCCAATTGAATAGCCCTTCTATAGGACCTTACCACCCGCACCCACATTTACCTATCAAATCTTGTTCCACGAGATACGAGTGCAGGACTTTAGCTTGAAATGAACTTTGGCGCTATATCGCTGCCTCATCTGAAATGTTGTTATTATCTGAAATGTTTGTAGTTGTGTTTATCAGTCAACTGATCACTAAATCAATGAAAGCAGTTAAATCTTCTGTTTGTAATGCAACACTATGGAGATTTCCTGGATTCCTTCTTAATGGGTTATGAGTTGCTACACCAGAGTACTGTCTGGCCTTTGGAAAATTTTCTACTGATCACACAGCAGCGCTTCTGTGATAAGATGTGTATAAAAATTGCTAAATCAATTTTGATTTATCACCCAGCCCTATTATTGACACAGCACTATTTTTATACACAATGTTGAGTTATTATAATCTTTTTTTTTTCTGCCTTCAGGTGGAGGAGAGGTGCTCGGTGAACAGCAGCACACTAATCCTGTGTCCCACTCCAGAGGTGGGCCCTGAGGCACTGCGAGCGGCCGTCACGGTGCACTTCCTCCTGGATAACTTGCACTTTGAATTTGAGGAGGTCAGCGGGAGCCCCTTCAGCTATGAGCCCAATCCTGTTCTTCATCCTCTCAATCAACACGATCCCAGCAAACCCTTCAGACACAAACCCGGCAGCATCATCTCTGTCGAGGTATAGAGTTCTTACTTTGGATATATCATATTACTTTGAAATCATATCTAACTAATGTTTCTTTCTTTATAGATACAATTAATATAAATTTAAATCAAATTTTAATTTTAATTAATTTGCATGTTGTATGAATTATGAAAACATGGTGCTTAGAATGAACCGCCAACTAATCCAGCATATGTTTTACTCAGCGGATGCCCTTCCAGCTGCAACCTGTATCTAGAAACATCCATACACATTCATTAACATTCATACACTACGGACAACTTAGCCTACCCAATTCACCTGTACCCAACTCACCTGTTTGCATGGGTTCGCTGGGTGCTCCGGTTTCTCCCACAGTCCAAAGACATGCAGTATCGGTGAATTGGGTAGGCTAAATTGTCTGTAGTGTATGAGTGTTAATGAGTGTGTGTGGATGTTTCCCAGAGATGCATTGCTGCTGGAAGGGCATCCCCTGCGTAAAAACGTGCTGGATAAGTTGGTGGTTCATTCTGCTGTGACAACCCACGAATAAATAAAGGGACTAAGCCGACAAGAAAATATATTATATTATATTATATTATATTATATTATATTATATTATATTATATTATATTATATTATATTATATTATATTATATTAAATTATATTATTAATATATTATATTATATTAAATTATATTATATTATTAATATATTATATTATATTATATTATATTATATTATATTATATTATATTATATTATATTATATTATATTATATTATATTATATTATATTATATTATATTATATTACCTTCCTGCCAACCTTCATGTGTGGGGCAAGATTGAGATTCCAGCATGCCAGTCATGCTCTGTTATAGGGTCATTGCAACTCCTATTGAGTCAGCAGTCCAAAGGCCCTGGCAGAAGGGCGCTACCGTTGGTGGCATGACCAAATGCTGAAAGTAGTGGCAGAAAGCATATGGTAGGTACCATCTTGCCCTGAAAAGGAGGATTGACTGCAAGACGATCTAGGGAAGCAGTTCTCACAGCACATAGTTACAACATCACTCTGACCAGACATATAATTTCTGAGGCAACAAGACGGTTGATTTTGCTTGAACTCACATTAGCCTGAAAAGAGCTGATGGAAGAGGCAAATAAAAAGGAAATGCTCATAGTACCAGGAGATAGTGGAGAAGTGCCAGAAAGGGGACTGGAAGATCCACTGTGAGCCAACAGAGGTGGGCTGTAGGGTTTGCAGGGTATTCACTCTGTAAAGTCTTCAATCAACTAGGCCTATCATCATCTAGAAAGAGGGCCATTAAGTCTGTTTGTAAAGCTGCAGAGAAAGCCACAAGATGGCTTTGGATAAAGAGGGCTGATCCATGGGTGATGACTACTGGGACGCAAGCTGGGGTCTGATCTACCTCACCTGGGTCACCAGGGCAAAGGTGTCTGATGTTGAAAGACCCGATAAACCCAATGACCCCAGGATACATCACTGATGATGCGTACCAGTGGATCTAGATGGTGTTGTATGAACAACCTTAGCTAGCAATTAACTACTGTGTTTTGATTAACTTTCATTAACAAAGATTACCTACCGTAACAAATCGGCTACTAATTAATATTAGTTACAGCATTGGTTTTACTGGCTTATGTAATTAAATGCAACTCTGCAGTTACACAGAGTCTCACTTGGAGTCTCCTGTATATTAATATTCTGCAGACTGTTGTTGTGTTATTTCCACCTCTGAAGAGCCTACATGGCTCAGAGCAAAACATCAGTGTGAGTTTTTGTTGTTGTTTTTTTTTTCAGGGGGAGAATTTGGATCTGGCCATGTCGAAGGAAGAGGTTCAGGCGCTGATCGCTGATGGAGAGTGTGCTGTAAAGACTTTAACCAGAAACCACCTGTACTGTGAGCCTCCAGCACAGCAGCCGTCAGTGGCAGCACTCAAGAAACGAGACGCCACTGACACACTACCAGAGTTTACAGTAAGTGTTTTCATCTCACTAATGTTTGATTAAAAATTACTCAGTTGTTTTTATTTGAGGTAACTTTAACTTCTCTACAAAATATTGCATTTTTTACTCCATCGCATTTAATAAATGTAGCACAGTAAACAGTTATTTTGAACTGAAGAAATTGTCACCCATTAAGAGACACAATAGCAGTGAGTGAGCAGAGTCTAGTCTGGTGACCCGGTTCACAAATCACACTGAACAATTCATTTACGGATTTCCCAGACCCGATTGCATGTTCGAGGCAAATACTATGAAACAATTAGCTATTTAGAGTGAGTCTTCTGTTAATAACTTACTGATTTGGATTGTATATACAGGCTTGAGTCTCCAGTTAATCACTCATTGATTCAAATGATCTATTGAGTGAATCTCCAGTTAACAACTCAGTGATTCAAGTTATCTGAGTGAGTCTAAATGAATCACTGATTTGGATTTTCTGTTCAGAGTGAGTCTTCAGTTAATGACTCATTGATTCAAATTATATATTGTGCGAGTCTCCAGTTAGCAGCTCAATGACTCGAGAGCAAATCTGAGAGCAGTTATCGACTCAGTGATTCAAGTCATCCAATCATAGTGAGTGTCCAGTAAACGAATCACTGATTTGCATTATCTGTTCAGTGTGAGTCTATAGTTATCGACTCATTGATTCAAATGGTCTATTGAACAAGTCTCCAGTTTACATCTTACTGTTTCAAACAATAGCTTCAAAGAAAATCTCCAGTTAATGAATCATGAGTCTCCAGTAAACGAATAACTGAATTGGATTATCTGTACAAAGTAGGTCTCAATTTATCGACTCACTGATTCAAATGATCTACTCATATTGAGCTTCCAGTTAATGACTCATTGATTCAAATGGTCTTTTAAACTTGTCTCCAGTTAACAACTCACTGATTCAAACACTCCATTCAGAGCAAATCTCCAGTTAATGAATCATGAGTCTCCAGCAAACGAATCACTGAATTGGATTATCTGTACAAAGTAAGTCTCTATTTATCGACTCACTGATTCAAATGATCTACTCATATTGAGCCTCCAGTTAATGACTCATTGATTCAGATGGTCTATTAAACTTGTCTCCAGTTAACAACTCACTGATTCAAACACTCCATTCAGAGCAAATCTCCAGTTAATGACTCTGTGAGTCACCAGTAAACAAATCTCTGATTTAGATTATCTGTGAGTCTGTAATTCTTCAAATTTGATTCAGATTGTTTTAAAACCAGGAGAATCTGCCGAGTATGATATTCACTAAGATACATGTATATGTACATTTTCTTAAGTGCTTGATTTGTGTTGCTCATCCTCCGATGCTCATGTTTGATCATTTCTGTTTTATCAATGTGTTTTGCATAGGTACGGATGGGGAATCTGAACTTCTCTCTGGGACGGGTGCAGTATGACTCTCAGGGTCCCGCTGCATTTCCTCTGGAGGCCCAGGTGGGCGTCGGAGTGGGAGCATCCATCGTGGCTCTGATCGTGTTGGTTATTGTGCTCATTTACAGGTATATCCATAGTCGTTATACCATTTACTACTAAGAGCAGAAATATTTTTTATATATAATTTTTTGATGTTTTATTATATACTAAAAGCATAACACTTATAAAATATTTTATATTATATTAAAATAACTAAGGTGTTCTAGATTTCTTTCTTTACTTTACAATAAAATGTAATAAATATATAATTGTTTTATATTATATTATATTATATTATATTATATTATATTATATTATATTATATTATATTATATTATATTATATTATATTATATTATATTATATTATTAAAAACTAATTAACTCTTTAAGTTTGGTTAAAATCTGGCATGATTTGAATACAATCCAAAAGCATCTATAGTGCATCTGAAAAGTATTCATAGCGCTTCACATAAATTCAGTTGATTGGACATTATTTGAAAAGGCATGCACCTGTCTATATAAGGTCCCTGGGTTGACAGCGTATGTCAAAGCACAAACCAAGCATGAAGACAAATGAATTGTCTCAATGCACAAGGCTTGGGAAGATAAAGCCACTCCCCACCTGGAATTTGCCAAAAGGTATCTGAAGTACTTTCAGACAATAAGAAACAAAACTCTCTGGTCTGATAAGACTAAAATTGAACTCTTTGGAGTGAATGCCAGGCATTACGTTTGGAGAAATCCAGGCACCACTCATCACCAGGCTAATACATCACTACAGTGAAACATGGTGGTGGCAGCATCATGCTGTTTGGATGTTTTTCAGCAGCAGGAACTGGAAGACTAGTCAGAATAGAGGGAAAGATGAATGCAGCAATGTACAGACATCCTGAATGGAAACCTGCTTCAGTGTGCTCTTGACCTCAGACTGGGGTGACAGTTCATCTTCCAGCAGGACAATCATATTCAAAAAGACTTGAGGCTGTAATTGCTGCCAAAGGTGCATCAACAAAGTATTGAGCAAAGGCTGTGAATACTTATGTACATGTGATTTTCAGGGTATTCATTTTTAATAAATTTGCAACAATTAAAAAAAACCTCCTTTTTCACATTGTCTTCACAGGGTGTTGTGTGTAAAATTTGTGGAAATAAATGAATTTGATCCATTTTGAAAAAAGGCTGAAACAAAAAAATGTGAAAAAAGTGAAGCGCTATGAATCATTTCTGGATGCACTGTAGAACATCTGACTGTTACAAACCTTTCTCTATATAACATTTTGCTACTTACTACTAATATTTGTTTGTTTTACTAATTCAAATGCAAAGCTGTGTTAGATTTACAGCAAGTTCTACATATTTTTGTGCTTAGAAATCTTTCTTGTTAACAAAGAATGCATGAAACAAATGACAGAGAGAGGCACGAGGGACTTGACAATTAAACAGATCGAGCAGTGTGTCGTTGTTTTGATATTTGTATTGAATAAGTGTTTGTTTGTATATTTGTAACAGGAGGAAAAGCAAGCAGGCACTAAGAGACTATAAGAAGGTACAGATCCAGCTGGAGAATTTGGAGACGAGTGTTCGGGACCGCTGTAAGAAGGAGTTCACAGGTCAGACGCTTGAACACAAACATCATCAACAACATCCCTCAAATATTGCATAAACTTGAACTGAGTGTTATGTTTGTGTTCTGTGCAGATCTGATGACAGAGATGATGGACGTGTCTGGTGATCTCATGGGCTCAGGGATCCCATTCCTGGATTATCGTAAATACTCTGAGCGGATTTTCTTCCCTGGTCACCGTGAGTCTCCGCTGAGACGAGATCTTGATGTACCCGCGTGTCGCCGCGCCACAGTCGAGCAGGGGCTGGTTCAGCTCTCCAACCTACTGAACAGCAAACTGTTCCTCACCAAGGTGAGATTTACTCAAACCCTTCAGAGCAGTGGCTCTCTAACTTTTTTCACCAAGTACCACCTCAGAAAAAAATTGGCTCTCCGAATACCACCATAATGACCAGTATTGAAATATAGTAGCGTAGTAGGCCTAATTAAGCAGCTACAGCACTGCACAGTTCAAAAACATGGCAGATTAATTCTTATTATTATTAATATTTATTATTCTCAGCCACTTAAAACATTATAAATAGTTTAAGCACATAACACTGTACTGTGCTCACAGGTAAACATTTTTTAAATTAAAATGTGCTTTTAAAAGTTAATTAAAAATGGCACTGTTCTTAAAAAGTTAAAAGAAAACTGCTGTTCTTAAATGTAAAGTATTAAGATAGCCTTATTCATCAAAACCTGGAAATGTTTCTTGGACCTCGTAAATATAAGCTAAATGTTATCATATTCATATATAAACTCTTTTTGATAAATTTTGAAATACATAATGCATGTACTGTATATATGACTTCTTTGTATACCTTTGAAATCTAAACATTAACTTGTATTTTAGATATATGAATTGGATGTACATATTTAAATTAGAAATTAGATCTGCTTACGGCGCATTAGAGTAGGCTATTTGTGTCAAAAAACGAGTGATTAAACTATGCCTGTCAACATTGGGATATATAAATATAGGACGGCCAACAACCGTCACAAATATGGGGAGGAAATTAGCTTCAAATGATAGAATACTTGGCAAACATTCAAAAATTTAAAATATAATAAAAGGTTTAGCCCATTAAAATCAATTTACTGATCACATCGGTGTTATATGTGTCAACGGGTTAAAAGTTAGTTTATTTTTTTACTTTAATTATTTAGCGATTCCTCCGAGTACCACTTGAAGGAAACCTGCGTATTACTAGTGGTACTCATACCACAGTTTGAGAACCACTGCTTCAGAGGATTATTCAAATGTCCAGAATCATAGAGCACAATTACAGAGGATTATTTATTTAAAGGGATAGTTCACCTAAAAATTAAAATTCTGTCTGCATTTACGAAATGGTATGGCGGTTTCTTGATTATTATGCTGGAATGAGAGTATACTGTAGTTTCTAGACATATGAACCTGGAAAATGGCAACATTTCATGTTCTGTTGATCATAGTATGCAATGTAACTTCAGAAGAGTCAGGCTTTAAATATGAAAATGATCAAATCTCTTTTGTCATTTTTGAGCAATGGTCTAATCTGATTTAATGATCTATGCTAAGCTAAGCTAAAAGTGCTCCTGCCAAACCTGGAGCTTGGCTGAATGGTATTAAAAATGGTAAAACTCAACGCTTTTTACTCTAGAGGACTTGTAAAATGAACTTTTTCCAAAAAAATGTAGTGCTCCTTTAAATATTTTGGTTTTAAGTGTGTGTGTCTTTATCTCATTTATATCTTCTACTTCCCTGCAGTTCATCCACACTCTGGAAGCCCAGCGCACCTTCTCTCCACGGGACAGGGCGTATGTAGCCTCCCTTCTCACGGTGGCACTGCATGGCAAGCTGGAGTATTTCACCGACATCCTCAAAACTCTGTTGAGTCACCTGGTGGAGCAGTACACCACCAAAAACCCCAAACTCATGCTGCGAAGGTCAGGAAATTATCTAGTACTTCCCATTACTGTAATCACAGAGTACCTGTTAAACTATATCTTAAAGGAATAGTTTAACCAACAATGAAAATTTACTCTATTTACTCACTCTCAAGTGCTTTCAAACATTTATGAGTTTCTTTATTCTGATAAACACTAGAATATGTTTTAAAGAAAGCTGGAACCCTGTAACCATTGACTTCCATAGTAGGACAAACAAATAGTATGGAAGTCAATGGTTACCTTGTCTTATTTTGGGTTCAACCAAATAAAGACAGTCAAACTGGTTTGGAACAAGTGAAGAGTATTTCAATGATGACAGTATTTTTGGATGAAAAACCCCTTTAATTGAGGCACTGTTGATTCTCAGTGAAAATCTCTCATTTGTTGTAGGACTGAGTCTGTGGTGGAGAAGCTGTTGACTAACTGGATGTCCATTTGCCTTTACACCTTCCTCAGGGTGAGTGACACAGATTTGGCTTTAATTTAGTTTGATATAAACAATATTAAAAAATACCTCTTAATAATAAAAAAAAATATGGCATACATAATCTATGACATACCTTTTGTCATCTGATTGGTAGTTTTTACTTATGTAACAGGTAAAAAGCAAGGAAACTGATACATAGTCCTGTTTGCTGTAAAATATATATATAAAAAAGAATATAAAATAGTTCAAAAATACTTTATAATATAACTTTAAAAGCCCATATTATGGGTTTTTGAAAATGCCCTTCCATGTAGTGTGTAACAGCTCTAAGTGAAGTGAAATATCCAGCTAAGGCTTAAATCTGTAAGTGTACAGTGTTTAAACCTGTTGATCTTGTTGCCTCGTTTACTCTAGCTTGCAAATGTATTTAGTTGTGATTTGTTACTTGTAACCGCGTGTACTGTATAAGGTTAACTCGCTATATTCTCATATCGCGTGCAAAGCCACGTTAAAAACGCGATGCGTGCCGCTTTGTTTACGGACCTCCATGGAGGAGGGTTATGTAAGTGTGTGTGTGTGTGTGTGTGTGTGTGCGTGTGCGCGCGTGGCCAAGGACGAGGGCAATGTGTGTGTGTGTGTGTCTGTGAAAAGAGCAGTGTGACAAGCTAGGAGATCTCGCCAGTTCTTGGAGTTTTTGCTCAATTAAATAGTAAGTCGACGGTATTTTTAAGTCCATCGTCTGTATTTACATTGCCCCACTGACAGCTAAAATCCACGCCTTACACTATGAAGCGTGTATGCACTGTGACTACTTTTATATTGCTGATTAGCTGCTGGGCATTTCACTCTGTCTTTCGCTGAAGGCGGTCACAGTGCCAACCAATCGCAACAGGCTGTCATCGGTCCAATCAGCGCAGATTAGCTTTGAGCTAAGAAGTGGTTTGGGGACAAATGAATCACTGGATGATTTATATGGAGTCGCTGGAATAATTAGGTAAAAATAAATGCAGATTATAAGACAATGAAAGTGTTTTTTGACCTTGCATGCATATTAGATTGTTGTTGGAGGCCCTTACAACCAAAATATGACCCTATTTCATGTATAATATGGGCTCTTTAAGTAGTTAAAAATACTACTTAGGGTTTTGGGTCATTATTCTGCATTTTATTATGTTTTAAATCCTTGATAATGTCTTGCCAACAAATGTATAAAACCTAATAGTTTGACTCTTCTAAGGCATAAAAATACCATAATATGTTTGCAGATATTTAAGAAACATGCTAAGTAAATATACTTGCAAACCAATGCTGAAGTCAGTTATTCCGCTTTGAAAATGTGTTTTTCGTGTCAGAATGTCTGTGTTGTTTTGGTTCTTTTAACCCGCCCAATGCCAGTTTAGCCAATTATATTTCAGCACCCTGGGTTGCCTTGATAGAAACCACCATTTCATTCATTTATTCAGGAAGGCTATCAAAGCATGAGCTTTTGATCAAAATGCAACCTCCAGTGGACAGTAGCAGACTCCCTAACGAGATGCAGATTCAGAGTTCCACATTAGGTTATTCATTAGCAAATAATATAAATATAACGAGCGTAAACATTAGGTGACCACTGTGGTGGATTTAGGCATGGGTAATATGGGTGATCGCCCAAGGCAGCATCTTGCTGGGGGGCAGCACACGGAGAAAGAAGAAAGAAAAAATAAAAACGTGAACCGGTAAAATTGATATGGGCCTCAGTATGCTTTAAGATGCGATTTATTTTATGCATTTATTTTATGCAAGTGTATCAATCCCAAGAGTGGTAGGCCAATCCCAGAATAAAGACGTTAGGGGCCATTCATATTCGGTGTCTGTTGTTAGCGCAAGTTTGTTTTTCTCTATGTGCAACAAAAACAACACTAGTGCAAGCAAACTGATAAATGTGCACAGAGAAACATTCCCGCGCGCCTCACACATGCTGCTCCTGGTCCCAGTGTGAATCCCAGTTGTTTACATGCACGCCGATAAAACACGCGCCGCTGATGTTCATACTTTATGACACAAGGTGTCGGCACGCAGCGAGTTTTGCTAGTTGACAAAACTGAAGTTTATATAATATGATGATGATCTTATTTTTACTAAGCATGGTTATGAAGCAGAAAGTAGGGATAAAGAGTCAGGGAAGTATGACTACATGAATTCTCTGCCTTGAGTCGAGTCTAAGATGAATGGATAATTCTATAAAGCATTTTTTTTTTTGTATTTTATAGAATTGTCAAAATTAATATTCATGCAAAAGATTTCTCAAGTAATCTTAACATATCACTACAGTTTTGTCTTTACATTGTTTTTCAGTTACATTTAGGATTGATTTCTGTTATATATTTAGAATAGTAATTGTATAACAACAACAGTAATAATAATTTTATGTATAATAAATATTAATATTTATAATAATTCCTGTTCTAGTTTTGTCTATATTTTACCCAAAGTTGGAGTAAAACAACAAACCTTTTTAGAATGTATGTGCTTTAACTAGATGTAATTCTACATGGGAGGGGAGGGTTTGGGGGGGGGGGGGGGGTTGCGTATATGGGGTGGTTCACCCAGGGTGTTATTCAAGCTAGAACCACCCCTGGGTGAGCAGGTTACATTGTAACCCCGTGTCCTAATAACATTCTACGTGAGGAAATACGCAGTGATAAGCAATTTGGCTGTTTAAATGGTAAGGTTTATAATCTAATTAACACATATTAAAGCTCTTTAACATTATTAAATGTACATGCTGAATCATATGATATGTGTTGGTTTTGGGTCACAGTTCTAAAGTTCAATCTCAAATGATTAATTTAATTTTCAACATCTAAACTAAAATATTTGCTGCTGCTTTTAGTAGTATGGCAATACTTGTCATGTAAAATTTAACACTGAATTAAAGGTGCAGTAGGTGATTGTCTTCAGAAGCATTTTTTTGTTGTGCTGGTTGAAAGTCTAATAGTAATGATTAAAGTAAATCATCTAAATGTATTTATATGTATTTTGATGTCTTGGGTAAGGCAAAAAATTCAAAAATGTTCATCCTATTTAATAGAGTTGGGCGGACATCTCTCATTACTCCGATAAGTAGGCCAAACTGTCTGTCAGCAAATGCAGATTTGAACAACTGCGCAGGATTTTGCACGCAGCTCCGCCAACCGCCGTGTGTAAAAACCTGCTGAATCAAAACTTTTTAAAAACCTGAATCAATATTGGAGTTACCTTTGCACGCTGGAAAAAGGATGACACAATGTCTGAAGGATTTCTCTTAGACAGGTAATGTTCTGTTTTAAAACTGTTTAAGCTTTACGCAAAGCTGATGTAACGTTAGATGTTGTTGTTACAAATGGGTTATATCTTTACAGAAGTGTTGTTCAGCCACTTAAATCTTCCGATGAAAGATTGATTAGACTATTTTCAGTTTTATAAGCGACCTTTTACAGCATCGATATTGTAGATTTTAATTAGTTCAACAACAAAACACAAGTAAATACTGCTATTCCGCCTAGTCTCTCCCTATATTGTCTGAAATTGCATGTCAGTTTGGCTTGCACGCCACCGGACAAGCACTAGTCGCTTTTAACACATGAGAAAGGGTTCTTTTGCTGTGCTCGTGTTTAAAGAGGCGTGGCTCTAGACGGCAGGGGAGGGACTGTGATTCAGAGATTTATGCTAAGCTGTTAGCATTGTGGAAGATCACCTTCTGCACCTTTAAGTACATGAGGTGTACCTGAGGTGATCTTTGTCAGTTTTTTGCTGTTCAGCTGTGAGAAATAGAAGCTGTTTGTAATGTATCAATTCGAGGTGTTGGTTGGAACAAAAACTCCTTTTAATATGGAAAATTCCCCTCTTTCGTGTGCCATTGCTTTTATATAGAACATGATTTAAATCAGCCTTTAGGCTCGATAGTCAGACTCGCTCCTTTTGGTCTTCAATCTGGCAACCTGCGCTTGCGTTTGTTTTGATCCAGGAATGCAATATATAGTTCAACCACTGGGTGTCAAACTTACATACTTCGCCTTTAACAAGAAGAAATTATATTTATTCTGAAGTTTTGGAGCTGTATTCTTTTTTATATAGAAACTATTGTTGCACAGAATGACAAGCCTTTTGCACTAAAAAAAAAAGATGAGTTTTTGGGAGGACCAATCCATTTAAATTTGTAAAAAAAAGTTTATTTAATTCCTTCATGTTGTCACAACACAAATACATTTTTACAATATAGAAAATAGTAATTATTTTGTCTCACAAAAAAACTTTCTTAAAATAAAAATTAATTAAGCTAATTTATCTGATTACTATTTAATATATTATGCCTCATACTCGAGGACAGGCTTGACCAACCTTGTTCTTGGAGATTGACCTTCTAGCAGATTTCAGTTGCAACCCATGTCAAACACACCTGCCTGTAATTATCAAGTGCTGTTCCTAATTAATTGGTTCAGGTGTGTTTGATCAGGGTTGGAGCTGAACCTTGCTGGAAGGTCGATCTCCAGGAACAGGGTTGAGCACCACTGCTCTAAGACTTTTACAAGATTAAATAACTCAAATTGGCTTTTTATTTTTTTTTACATTCATGTACTTTATTAATAATCCATGTTTATGTTGTTTTATGTCAGGATACAGCAGGTGAGTCCTTCTACATGCTGTTCAGAGCAATAAAGCATCAGGTGGACAAAGGCCCAGTGGACGCAGTTACAGGCAAAGCCAAATACACACTCAATGACAACAGACTGCTGCGGGAAGATGTGGAGTATCGCACATTGGTAAAACTCAACATAGATTTTTATGCAGAAATATATAATAATAATTACTCATTTACACATAATATAATAAGATGAGGATCCTAAATAGACATTTTCTATGAGCAGTAAAATGTGATCTATTGTGACCACCCAGCAGTTTCAAAGTGTTGTTTTGTCTCCCACAGACTCTGAATGTTCTAGTAAACAATGGAGGAGCTGGCGAATCTCAGACGCTTCCCACCAAAGTGCTGGACTGTGACACCATCACACAGGTGAAGGAGAAGATCCTGGAGCAGGCGTGGAAGAGCACATCATTCTCCCAGAGACCCTCTGCAGACTCTGTGCATCTGGGTAAGAGTGTAGTAAGCTCAAGTCAGTCAGTAAAATGTATTTTTATTTTTTTATATAAAATGTATTAAATAATGAAAAAAACGTCAGAATGAACAACTGCTGCATCAAAACCACTTAGGGTTTTTGGTTATTTTTCTACATTTTATTATGTTTTAAATCATTGAAAATGTCTTGCTGACATGTGAATAAAAATGATTTGAAAGACAGTGGTGAATATAATAAAATAAAATTACAATTAATTTAAATATAAATAATATCAAAATATGTTTTTTAAAGATACACTCCACTTTTGGGGGGACATTGGCTCATTTTAAAAGTCCCCTAAAGTAACAGTTGAGTTGAACCATGTTTGAATACATTCATCTGATCTCCGGGATTGACGGGAGCAATTTTAGCTTAGCTTAGCTTATGTCCCAGTCAGATCACACAAATTTGTCACGACTTGGACATGATTTCTTTGACGTAGGATGTCGTGGGCATTGGTATACAACAAATGGGCATCATGAGACAAGAGTCAATTGTTTCTTCTTTTGTAAGGTGGCATATTTCATGACAACCAATACCATGCCTACGATGCCTCACGACACCATCGCAGAAAGTTTAGCATGTTTAGTTTTTTAGTGGGTGTTAATGCGCTGGTCAGGTAATCAAAAAATAGGCTGCATGTTTACTTATGGGTGGGTCACGGGTGAAAAAGATCAATCATTGAATATGCAAACTTTAACTATCTTTTCTAAAATATGAAGGTTTGTTAAGCAATTTTATCTGACAGACTGGCACAAACATGCAGACGTCTTCATTATTTTTTGAGTTCTCAGCCTAATCATAAATATAATTCTCTCAGGTAGTCTGGAAACATGTTCAGTGCTGTGAATAAACTGCAAAAGCATTCTGCTTGTTCAGTATTGCCATTAACTGTCTAATATAGGCTTCTCTAAAACTGAAGATTATTATTTTATTTAACAAACCAACACAATCTCATGACAATTTGTGTTTTGGCGCATAAAGCGGACTTATTTTGAAGCCCTTCACCTCACATGTTATTCGTTAGTCTTATTTATAGATAACTGACCAACAAAAGACACATTAAAATTAAGATAAACAATTACAACAAACAAAATTAATTTCAAAATGATATTTTTTGCAAGAATAATATACAAATTATATTTCTGTTTGTGCACCTCTACTATTTAACTATATGGGTGGATGATCTGTTTCGCTCTGAGGAAAATAAGTATTTAATTAAGGCATTACTTTGAATATATCACAGATCTCAGTTATATATTTGCAAATTTTTTTAATATGTCATTATTTTAAAGATTATGCCTCAGTTTTTTTGCTTATGTGCTTTCATTTTCTCTGTCTCACTCGTTGAGTTCAGGCAAAGTGTTTGTCGCATAACCTGACTTTCGTAACCGACAATAAAAATCGTGTGATCTGACCTAAATCATTGAATCGGATTAGACCATTGGCATCACGGTCAAAAACTTAAAAGAAGTAAGAAGTTTTGATAATGTTCCTATTTAAAGCTTGACTATTCTGAAATTACATTGTGTACAATATTTCTACATTCTCATTATGGCATAATAGTGACAGAAATTAACTGCCATGGCTGCAATGATACCATACAATATGGCTGCAAATGATATTACGCAGCACTGTTACCCAGTTACCGAGCTTGGGACTATTTTCAGGTGATGCTTAGCTTTTAATTTTCAAGCGGTCTTAGTACACAAGTTATTTAAACTCTTTTTTTGACATTTTTGAGCAAGTTGCTAATGGTCTAATCCGATTCAATGATCTATGCTAAATTAAGCTGCTCCCACCAGACTCAGAGATTGACTGAATGAATTAAAAACTGAGAAAACTTAGTTGTTTAACTCTATAAGGGACTTAAATTGATGTTCATTTAAAGTATATTTTTATAAAATTGCTTTAAACCTGGGCATCACGGTGGCGCAGTGGATAGAACGTTCACTTCTCAGCAAGAAGGTTGCTGGTTTGAGCCCTGGCTGGGTCAGTTGGCGTTTATCTGTGGAGTTTGCATGTTCTCCCCGTGTTGGTGTGGGTTTCCTCAGGGTTTTCCAGTTTCCCCCACAAGTCCAAAGATGTGTTGGGATGCAGCTGGAATGGCATCCGCTGCGTAAAACATATGCTAGATAAGTTGGTGGTTTATTCCACTGTGGCGACCCCTGATTAATAAAGGGACTAAGCAGAAAAGAAAATGAATGAATGAATAATGTAAACCTTTAATCCTGTGTTTTATAGAGTGGAGGGCAGGAATGGCTGGTCATCTGATCTTGTCAGATCAGGATTTGACATCAGTTGTTCAGGGGTCCTGGAAACGCCTCAACACTTTACAGCACTATAAGGTCTCTGAAGATGCTCTTCAGTCTAATGACTTCATTTTGTGTAAATAATTACTTTATTTAATTAGGTGAGTGATTGTTGATGTATTATTTTGTTTTTGTCCCTCTGCAGGTTCCAGACGGAGCGACAGTAACACTGGTGTCACGACAATCCAAGCAGATCCACCATGACAGCCATGACTACATACCAGGAGAGAGTGAGTTATGATTTAGTACCAATGAGAGTTTCATTGTGGACAACTTCTGAAGAACATCACAACATTCCACATGACATTTAGACGTAGGATTTTGCATATGCTGACTGTTTTGCAAACTATTAATTAATCTGCTCAATCACAGAATCAGACTCAGTTGCTTTATTTAGCACACCACGATACAGTGCGATTTGTTGGTCTGTTGTTTCATCTCAACTGAATCACTTTAGTGGACTTGTTTCCAATGTTCATGTATAACTAAGGAACCAAACTTTTTTGAAAAAACATTATTGTATCTAAAACAAAACGTTTCAGACCATCTAACCATCTAGTTTATTTCTCTCTCAGAGACGCCGATGTTGGAAGATGGAGATGAAGGAGGAGTGAAGCAGTGGCACCTGGTGAAAGCCAATGAAGAGGCAGAGCTTCCCAAACACAGACGGGGCAGTTTGAGAGACAAAGAGCGTGAGAGAGCCAAGGCCATCCCAGAGATCTACCTCACACGCCTGCTGTCTGTCAAGGTACATGCACACACACACACACACACACACACACACACACACACACACATACTTGTATACAGTTGAAGTTAAAATTATTAGTCCTCCTGCGGATTTTCTTTAATTATGTTTTACAGAGCAAGGAATTTTTCGCAGTATTCCCAATAATATTTTTTCATATTTGTTTCATTTTGGCTAAAATAAAAGCATTTTTCTATAAATAAACCATTTTAGGGTCAGTATTAGGGCTGTGCGATCTTAGGAAAAGATCAAATTGTGATTTTTATTTATTTATTTATTTATTTATTTTTGCATTTTTATTTTTTTTTTTACATATTGCGATTTTGATTGGATTTTCGTTTTAATTTTGTAGTCAAGCTTCAGCTCAATAATCTGTATTGTAGCTTCTTACTGCTAAAATGCAGTGAGTGTTAGTTTAAAAGGGAACTTAAAAGACATTACCTTATATTAGCAAACATCTCTGAAATTGTACTTTGCTGTTGTTTATTGGAAGACTCCGGTTTTGCCTTACATAACTTAGTTTCTTACTGAAGATTTTTATTTTTTTTTGTTGTTGATGAATATCCCCAAAGAAGCCAGCTGCCTTTCGTTGATTGGGTTCTTTAGCTCTGAGTAGCTCAATGGTTTCGTGACTCACCTCTTATGCCAGAGACCTGGGTTCTATTCCCGATTCTCACAAACGAACAAGAAAAACAAGACAAAGACTGCGAAGAAGACCAAGACGACAACCATGAAGACGAAAACCAAGAGCAAGATGACCAAGAAGATGAAGACAAAGAAGACAACAACTAAGAACAAGAAGACAAAGACAAAGATGAAGACTAAGACCAAAAGGCTAAAAGACCAATAAAATGAAGAGGATGAAGACATAGATCAACAACGATGTGTCAACTGGCACTACTTTTATTAGACTTTTTAGCAAGACGCTCCTCGTATGACTGTCTGTGGTACTTTTTTAGGTGCTTTTAGGTATTACCGACGTGCTGTTTTTCTTTAATATTAATTAGTCTAATAATGCTTCTGAAGTGGTAGACGCCAGATCCCACTTGTCCGTGCTTTCCTGTTTGTTTTTTATTGTGGGCGTTCCGCATAGTTTGGTTGCGCAACTCTGATTGGGTTGAAGAAAGTTTGCTAACTCAATTGGCTAGTAAGACGGAGGTCATGCATTTGCTCTGAGTGTGGGATGTTCATTCATTCATTCATTCATTTTCTTTTCGGCTTAGTCCTTTTATTAATCTGGGGTCGCCACAGCGGAATTAACCACCAACTTATCCAGCATATGTTTTACGCAGCGGATGCCCTTCCAGCCGCAATCCATCACTGGGAATGTCTGGGAAGTATAATAATATTTTTTTATATCACAGCCTCTTGCAATTAGCTAATAGCAATATTTAAAACCGTGATTGTGAATCGATTTTGATTAATCACACAGCTTTAGTCAGTATTATTACCCCCTTAAGCAGTATTTTTTTCGATTGTCTACAAAATAAACCATCATTATAAAATAACTTGCCTAATTACCCTAACCTGCCTAATTAACCTATTAACCTATATTAGCCTTAAAATTGCACTTTAAGCTGTATACTAGTGTCCTAAAAATATCTATTAAAATATTATGAACTGTCATCACGATAAAAATAAAATAAATTAGTTATTAGAAAATAGTAAAATTATTCTGTTTAAAAAGGTATTTTTAAAAAAATTAATTAAATAGAAAATTCTGCTTCGCTGTACTGCAAAGTTATTAGGTTTTAAGATAGTAAAATAATTTCAGTATTATTTAAGAAATATGCTATACATTTTAGTTTGGTTTTAGTTTAATTGCTGGTTTTGTAAAATTAGTTTAGTTTTTATTTTGTAATCACATTTTGAATTAAGTTTTATACATATTTAGTTTCAGTTTTAGTAATTATAAGTTTGCAAATCTAAATAAATGTTCGATACTTTTTGCCCCCATATGTGTATATGTGTAGTTAACGTTTTTTCGACATGAACATACATTTGATTGATGTTTTTGGTTTTTCCACCCAATGTACAAGAAACGCATGTGTGTTTATTAATATTACAAATACTTTTTGTCAAAGTATTTTTTTATTTCAGTTAATTTTTCAATAAAAGTTCTTAGTTTCATTTAAGCCTTTTTGTTAATGAAACTTAATTTCTGAGTTTTAAATCTCACCTTTAGTTTCAGAAAGTAACCTTGTTGTTATGTGTGTTTTAGGGTACACTGCAGAAGTTTGTGGATGATCTGTTCACTGTGATTCTGAGCACCAGTCGGCCGGTTCCACTAGCTGTCAAGTATTTCTTCGATCTGTTGGATGATCAGGCGGCACAGCACAACATTACAGACCCGGAGACAATCCACATATGGAAAACAAACAGGTTAGGAAAGCCTTAACACTTCAGTTTAAGGGCCAACTCTCATTATTAATAACTTGCTTATTACTAGAACATTATTGATAATTGAATGTTTATTAGTATTTTCCTATCTCATACCTAAATTTAACAGCACATTAATAACTAATAATTAATAGAGCAGAAAATTAGATGTTTATCGGAGGCAAAAGTCTAATTTAGTAGTTAATTAAAAGGGTTAGTTCACCCAAAAGTGAAAATTCTGTTATTAATTGTGCCATTTCCATCCCCTAAGACCTAAGAACACAAATAAAGATATTTTAGATGAAGCGATCTAGTGACTGCAGATTGCTGGGAAACACACTGTTCGCTGGTGAACAACAAATCCGCCCCATTATGGACTACAACTCTCTACATGCACTTCCCACACACACAGCTGTTCTGCTTTCAGTTGATTACACACACACAGCCTGAAGGTCATCAAAGACATATAACTCTGACTATTTAAGCTGCACGCACACAAACCTCAGTACTGAGGCTTGCTATATTGTAATGTTTTCATGTCTAGCCTTCCATGTTCTGAGCCTCACCTTTATTCTTCCATGTATTGATCCATAGCCGCTTAGCCTTGACTACGACTATAAATAACCCTTAGTATACTGTTTTCCACCTGTTATGCAATTAACTGCTAAATAAATACTGCATTTGGATCCACAATTACAGTGTTCAGCACTGCCAGTCTGCAAACATTAAACACACATTGTGATATCGATGCTCAGACGAAATACTGTTCAGCCCTATTGCTCATTTACTATCGTCAATAAGTCTGAGAATTACTATTAAAGTCAGCAGTTTAACACACAAGTGTCGGATAGTTTGTAGTAAACGCACACCCAAATCTGAAACATAAGATAAAGATGTTTTTACATTTTTTTTTTTTGGGCACACAAAAGTGTTTCTGGAGCTTTGTATGATTGCAGTCATACCACGGAAGTCACATGGGATGTTTTTACAATGTTTTTGAACATCTCTGGACTTTAGGGAATTTATAAAAAAATATCCTTATTTGTGTTGCGAAAATAGACAAAGCTGGCCCTGAGAAAACCCCGCTTTGGCCTGATCAGGCCCCAGGAGTGACAGTGTAAACGCAACTGGCCCTGGCTCACTTTAGGCGCGATAGTGGAAACGCGGCTATTATATTTTGGCTTTGTTTTGCAGCTTGCCACTGAGGTTCTGGATCAACATCCTGAAGAACCCACAGTTTATCTTCGATGTTCAGGCCTCTGACAATGTAGACGCCGTGCTGTCAGTCATTGCTCAGACCTTCATGGACTCCTGCACTATCGCCGACCACAAACTGGGCAGGGTGAGTCAATCAGAATCAAGTTAGAGGAGACTGATAATGGGGAGAAGACCTAATAATTTTGATTGTATGTCCTCGTATGACATTGCAGGATTCCCCAATCAACAAGCTCCTGTACGCTCGAGACATCCCACGCTACAAACAAATGGTGGAGAGGTCCGTATTTATACTTTGCTTAATACATAATGAGGTTATTTTGACTCAATGCACTTACACTACTTTCATGATTGTTGTTGATCAGGTACTACTCGGATATCAAACAGACGATCTCTGTCAGTGACCAGGAGATGAACTCTTCTCTAGCTGAACTCTCTCGGGTGAGTTACAGTATCTTGAACTACAGTATCTTGTTTACTCATTGGACTCAACACATCTGCACTTGGTCAACAAATGGGAAAACTGAAAATAACTGGGATTTTAATTTCATTTTTTTTAGTAACTTGGAAATAAACAAGCAATTACTTTACTAATTAATTAAAATAATTAAATTACAAAACTCACATTACTTTTTATGTGTACTTAACACTGCTTGTGATCTTCTTAGAACAAGGATCACGTTTTACATATAAATCTTTAGTTATGTCCTCCAAAATGTGCATTACTGATTTCAATGCCATCCATAAACCAAGGATGTGATTTTCTGTGTAAATTCAGAATTATAATGTTATTGTATTTTTATTGTTTTGTTTGTTTATTGCCTTTATTACATGTTGAATGTACTTCATATAGTAATTAGTTTTGGCCAAAGATCAATCTCATAATAAATGTGTGTATTATATATATGTATTATCTATATGTCATACAAACACATAATACAAATCTATACAAAGCTATGTTTTTACAAAGATATTTACACTTATATATCATTTGTATCATATATGAGCAATACCACACTAGTAGCAGTGCGATATGGCTGTATATCAGCACTGATGGGAGGTGTGCCTGCGGCCTCATGCCTTAGTGTCCCACCAATGCTGGTATACAGCCATATGACACTGCTACAAGTGTGATATTTTGTTTATACAACAGTTCGACAGCATAATCTTGTATATAAAAAAGACAATCAAACAGAGATATTTTAAAAATCCTTTTGGGAAAGGAACTACTTTCTTCCACCATTCATTCACATCTGCAGCTGATGGCAGATCAGCAGAATCTGTTGCTACTTTACCAACGTCACTTTAGAGCTAGTGTTTGGATGATTCTCTAGCGTAATGTCTAAAATGATGACAAAACAGGTGACTTTGGTGACATTTTAAGATTATATAGCTGAACAGCATGAAGTGCCATCAGTCTAGAGACATTTCCCAGTATTTCTTTGTTGCAATTGGGATAGCACAATAATTAACCCCGAAAAAGCCAAAGTAAAGCAAACACTATCAGAAACACTACTAGACTGTGATATAAATACAACACTACTACATACAAAAGAGAGAGATCGACTTAAAATGTCACTTACCTGTTTTATAATGATTTGATCAGATGTAGTTTGAAAATAAGCTGGATTTTTTTTCCTCTAAGGGATTATTATGTGGTCTCTGTCGCCATCCTGCGGCGGAATGTCAATCATCTTTGCTCTGCTCAGTATGACAGGCTGATGACCGCCAATGCGCTGAATCTCGGAAATTATGAATATTTAAAATAGGCGCTATCCTTGTATATAAACTGCATAGTTGCAATCTAAACAACTATATTCTCACCTAAAAAGCCTCAAAAGTACATTATGTTGTCCAACAGCTGCAGTGTGTGTATTGATCTGCTGTCACTCTATGTGGGATGAGTAATACAGAAGGGTGAGGAAGCTGTACGAGTTCTGAAATTGCAGAATATCACACGACTATCAGCCAATCAGATTCGAGAACCAGACAGAACTGTTGTATAAACATATATATTTTATATTTACATATAGATAATACATAATAATAAATATACACAGTACATACTAAATATGATGTCAAAAGAAACTTGAACTGGAAGAGCCCTCACCCTCCTTCTCACACTTGTTGGATAAGAAATGTTTTTTATTTTATGAAATTAGAAAAAATTAGGTACTCTCTTCACCGACCTAGCACTATTTTTATTATACTGTGGGAACCCCTTCGCAAACATGTCCAAACTCTTTAGCTTGACCCTGCTCCTTCTGATTGAGTCCCTACTTCCCAGTTCTGAGCTTGGTACTGGATACTAGTTCTGGTCAACACATTGTAGACTTGTTTTTTTCTGTATAAGATTGCACTAGTGTTGTTTTTATTATTATTATTATTATTATTATTATTATTATTATTATTTGCTCAAAATACTGTTCAGTGTATTTGCGTTTTGTTACATGTTTATGTTTTTGTAATGTGTTTCATAATGTATAAATTAAACATAAAAAAGGAAACTTTTATTTTGTATGCAATTAATCATGAATAATTTTTGATCAGCACTAATAGTATTATTGTAAACAATACATAATGCATGCAAAAGCTTCTAACAAAACAGGTATATTAAATGGAAAAAAAATCACTTTTTCAAAATTCATCAAGGCTGTTCAAGGCAAATTCTGGGACTCATAAACTCAAGACACTCATCTTAGAGAGTTAATAAAATAATTTAGACATATTTAAACATTAAGGAGAAAACTGCCGAGAACAAAATAATGATATAAAATGATATAAAAATTCATCGTTTAACCGTGATGTATTTAATATTTTCATCCTTTCATCTTTTGTTTTTCTTGCAGAACTACTCGAATGAAGTGAATCATCTAGTGGCATTGCATGAGTTGTACAAGTATATCAACAAATACTATGATCAGGTGAGATTTACTTTATCCTTGGTATATGTATGTAAAAAAAAAAGTATTCTCTATTTATGATTTGAACTCATACAGTAATTACTCATTATTTAAAATAGTAATAGTACGTCTTTGTTTGCCTGTGCTCCGAATTCAGATGAGTCTTCATTTTTGTTTGCTCTGCTGTTAATAGTGATGTGGGGGGTTATCAGCACCTTCTCTGCATGCTTATGCTTTGGCACATGTGTTTAATAGTAGCAAAGCAACCTAGTAACAATGACAATGACACAAGAGTACAGAAATAGACTCTTGTTGAAAACACCTCCTATCCAACTGCCTCACATGTTTACAAGTAAAGCAGTATTTGTAACTTAAGACATGCATTCTATCATTGGTAGTCAAAAATTTTCTTGATGTTTTGAGGCCAAAGAGTTTGTTGACAAAGACCTGCTCTTGGAATTCATGTGTAAATTTTACTCTCTACCGTCAAACTTTTATATTGTGAAAGCAGAAGAGATCCTGTTATTTATAAACAGAGAAACCAAAGATTTATTTTTCTTAAACTGAAATAATAGAATGTACTAGTTTTGCATGATATTGGAGAAAACTAGCATTGAGATATTTTATTTTTCTATGATATATATTACAATATCAACTATAATCTTACCAGATGACATAAACGGCTCTATATGGAAATAATTAATCATTTTAGATATATTAAGATGGTTTTGTAAGGGAGCGCATCTACATAAAATACAATAAACCAATCTCAAACATTGATTAATACAGTAGACCAAAGATACTGTACAAATAAAATGCACAGTGCTTTATAATTTTCTGGACATCAAGCAATATTCAGATACACAAAGTAAATAATCAAAGGTAAAATAACACTCTATAGTATTAATTGTATATAAACAAATTCACTTAATCTTTTTTAAGGGGGACCTATTATGCAAAAATCATTTTTATAAGGGGTTTAAGCACAGTTGTGTGTGAACAGTGTGTGAATATAGCCAGCCTCTAATGGTGAAAATGAATTAACTCTATTGTTTATAATCACATTTGATAAAAATCGTCTGCAGAAACACTTTAATTTACATTGTCTAATTGTACATGTCATCAGAGGGAGAAAGCCTCGCCCATTAGTGATAATCTCTTGTTGATTAGCATAAACAGCCCTCAGTGAGAAGCAGCCATCTGCCATTAGAGTTTTTAACTGCTAAAGATATTTTCAGGGACTAAAAGGCATTATCAACACAGGCTCACTGTAAAAGTGTACTCCCGTATACATTTCTGGAGAGCACAAATTATGTAGCCAGAGCTACATATGGCTGCATTTCGTCTTTAAAACGAACACTACTGGGCGGTATGGCGCCACCAAAAGCTTATGTTTCTTTTCGCGCTACCAGCTGACCGCTTACTTCTGTGTGGACGACTTTCCCACTGTTTCCAGTTTGCTCAGTAGCTCGCCACGTACGTCGGCGGACTTGTCATGCAAAGAGAAGTTGACCACAATGACGGGGTTCAAGTCTAGCAAAGAACCGTTCCAGAAAGTAGATAAAACTAAAACAAAAGGCAAAAATAAAATAAACAAGAAAATAACAGGGTGAGAACATGACCAAAGATCCAAAAATGTAAAAATCAGGCAGGACTTTTCTTTTTTTTTTTGATTGCTTTTGAAAACACTATTGGTTGGGTTTAGGAAAGGGGGTGGGTGGGGGGTCGGTCAGTTGGTCGGTTAGTCAGTCAGTCAGTCAGTCAGTCAGACAGTCATTGAGTCGACAGCCTCTGATGGATTTACCCGAAAACAGCAGGCTCGATTAGCCCTCACAAGAGAAATTTGAGTTCTGAAAAAGCATACACAGCGGCCTCTCCTTCTAAACATACCTTCTCCAATGTATTTGCCAGAAATGGCAAACAGGGTTACAAATCAATAATGAGCCTGGGTTGGGCATTATATATGTTGAGTTTTAGGATGCACAGATGAACACTGTATTCTCCATAGATTGCATTCTTCTTTAGAAACACTTCCTTTGACATTTTCATTTTAACAGAGTTAATGTTAGTCCTATTTGGAATTTGCTGCTTCAACGATGCACAGGTGTTTGTAGCTTCGCCCTCTTTTAAAAAGAGCATTTGAATTTAAAGTCACCAAAATAACGCAATTTGGATCAAAGCCTAAAAGGGGCAGTATTAAAGAGTTATACATAATTATTTGTGTGGTATGTTATTATAATTACATAATTCAAACACCTTATTGTATAATATGAGGTTGAGGTTAAAATATGTTGTTATTCTCATAATTTGTCATACTTTTACACCATTTAAACAGCTAAAAATAGTTGTAGTCTCTTGTATGTGCATTTTTTGCCTTTTACATGTAACAGTGTAATTCATTGTCCAAAAACAGATGAATTGGACAGCATTTACAGCATCTCATTTTTTCAATTCGGATTTCTAGATAGAAATTTTTGTCATTACTGTAATCCCTTCAGCCACAAATAATCTTATACCAAACAAACAAAACACACATTACACAAATATTGGGTTACACACAACAAGGCCTGTCATGATATCTTTTTTTGTTGTACAATAGATTACACCAAAATATATTGCATTAAAAGATATTATTGTCATTTAACAATAATAAGAATAATGTTCCAAAATCATCTTAAATGTTACTAGAATTGGCTTTAATGTATATAAAAGAAACGTATAATGTATATAATATGTATATAATATGTTATAAACGTATAATGTATATAATATGTTGTATCACCAAAAACAATTGAGTTCATGTCCATGTGTTGTGCGATAAGTCAATATATTGATAATTGTGACAGGCCTACACACAACACAATAATAGACACCCCCCTCCTCCACACACACACACACACACACACACACACACACACACACACACACACACACGCCAATACTGAATCCACTTCTCACCCATAAGATTGTTTGTTTGTGTGGTCAGATCATCACCGCTTTAGAAGAGGACTCCACTGCTCAGAAGATGCAGCTGGGCTACAGACTCCAACAGATCGCCGCCGCTGTGGAGAATAAAGTCACTGATCTCTGACCTGTAACCTCACATAGACACTCCAAACAGACAAAACCAGTGAAAGCACAGAGACCTCGTACTTGTTGAACTCTCCAGAGCGCCAAGGAGAACAGAGAACATTTGAGAGGGATAAAATAAAGACGGCATTGCCAGATTGAAGAGGACGTCACACACTCATTATTGCTGCTCTCTGTGTCTCTGCTTAACACTAAGAGGCTTTGTTTTCATCCGCCAACACAAAAAGTGACTGCTGTTATTGGCGGAGAAGTGCTTCGTTGGATTTGCTAGGGTTGCTATCTGCGACCTTTCAAGCATGCTTGAGCGCCATCTTTTCTGTATGTAAAAAAAAGAAGAAGTCTTACGAGGACCGACTAACTTTTTGGGGGATTCTTTATGAAACTGCGCATTCAAGCGTTTGGTGTGATGATGATGATGATGATGATGATGATGATGATGTGCTTTATATTGCAGCCTTTGTCTTAAAAAAAAAATAAGGAGCTGAAAAGGATTTAAAAAAGGACAAGTATATGAGTTTTCTTGCTCCGTATTCCCATAGACGTTTAGTTCTGTGATCTTATTTGAGTTTTATTTGCTAAATGGAAAACACTGGTTTAAGGGACCTGTTTTCACATGACTACAGTATTATAAACATTAATATGCATGGATAACTCACTGTTAATTCAGAGATTTTAAGTTGGCACATACGTTGTCGCAAGCGTGTGTGTGTTTTATTGTCGATTATGGTTTTGTAAATGGCAGGTTAACCCGATTAACACACTTGATTTAGGTGAGTAGGTGTTCATGTAACGTTCACAAGGCTCAGTTGTATATTTGTTCATAATCATTGATTTTCCATGTTAAAGTGTGTGCTTTTTGATGGGGTTTTTTTTGAGTTTACGTTCCCGAATACGTATATCTGCGGTACATCTCTGCACACTTGGCTAAAGTAGACATTTTTGTTATTATTTGTGCGATTATGAGCAATTTTTGCTTTTCTGCGACTAGTGTCACACTCTTAATGCTTGGCTTGTTTTGGCAATCAGGTCATGACTTGCACTTTTTTTTTATTTTTAACTCTGAGCTGAACACTGAATGCACATTTTAACGTGGACTAAATTCAGCTTCTGTAATATCTGTGCATCGCTCGCTTTGTTTTACGTTTTTATTGATTTTTAAATGTATTTATTTATTTATTTTGTGTTTGACTGGTGTACAGACCAAATTTGGTAATTATGATCCACCCTCTAAATTAAAAATAATTTCCCCTGCCATTTCGTAGTCAGAGTGTGTTCAGATCTCTTAAGCGTTCATTCATACAGATATACTGGTCTTATTTTTTGCTGTAGTTCACTGTTGTGCTCTGTGTTTTGTACGTACGTGTGGCTGTGATACAGTGTAGATTATTTTGTTAAGTCTTGCACAGGTCGCGCTGGCTATTTGAAGCTATTGTAAATTCTTTCTACCATCAGTTGTTCTTTTACCTGTGCATTTCTATTGTAAATAAAATGTTGCTATAACTCATAACAACGGTGTTGGGGTTTTATTTGTTGTGTACTAAACTGTTCAGAAAGTTCAAGAGAATTTCCTCATCACATCCATCAGTACAGACATCAGTACTCACTTTTTCCACATTTCTTTATGTTACAGCCTTATTTCAAAATGGATTACATTTATTTATTTCCTTAAAATTCTACACACCATACCACATAATGACGATGTGAAAAAGATTTTTTGAAATTGTTGCAAATTTTAAAAAAAAATTATAAACCCGAAAAATCAAATGTACATCAGTATTCACAGCCTTTGCTCAGTACTTACACCTTTGGCAGCAATTACAGCCTTAAGTCTTTTTGAATATGATGCCACAAGCTTGGCACACCTGTCTTTGGGAACTTTTGGCCATTTCTCTTTGCAGTACCTCTCAAGCTCTATCAGGTTGGATGGGAAGTAAAGATGTACAGCCGTTTTCAGTTCTCCAGAGATGTTCAATAGGATTTAGGTCTGGGCTCTGGCAGGGCCACTTAAGGACATTCACTGGGTTATTGTGAAGCCACTCCATTAATATTTTGGCGGTGTGCTTTGGGTCATTGTCCTGCTGGAAGATGAACTGTCACTCCAGTCTGAGGTCAAGAGCACTCTGAAGCAGGTTTCATTCAGGATGTCTCTGTACATTGCTGCATTCATTTTTCCCTCTATCCTGACTAGTCTTCTAGTTTCTGCGGCTGGATTTCTCCTACCATAACGCCTGGCATTCACTCCAAAGAGTTCAATTGTAGTCTCATCAGACCAAAGAATTTTGTTTCTTATGATCTGAGAGTCCTTTAGATGCCTTTTGGCAAATTCCAGGCGGGGAGTGGCTTCCGTCCAGCCACTCCACCATACAGGCCTGATTGGTGGATTGCTGCACGGAGGGTTGTCCTTCTGTAAGGTTCTCCTCTCTCCACAGAAGAATGCTGGAGCTCAGACAGAGTGATCATCGCGTTATTAATCACCTCCCTGACTAAGGCCCTTCTCCCCTGATCACTCCGGTTAGATGGCCGGCCATCTCTAGGAAGAGTCCTAGTGGTTTTAAACATCTCCCAATTACGGATGACGTAGGCCACTGTGCCCATTGGAACTTTCAGAGCAGCAGGAATGTTTCTGTAACCTTCCCCAGCCTTGTGCCTCAAGACAATCTTGTCTCTTTGGACTACAGACAATTCCTTTGTCTTCAAGCTTGGTTTGTGCTTTGACATGCACTCTCAACCCTCGGACTTTATATAGACAGGTGTAGGCCTTTTCAAATCATGTCCAATCAACTTAATTTACCACAGGTGAACTCCAATTAAGCTGCTGAAACATCTCAAGAATGATCAGTGAAAACAGAATGTACAATTTAGAGCTTCACAGCAAAGGCTGTGACTACTGATGTACATGTGATTTTTTTTTTTTAACTTTTTTTAAAATAAATAAATGAATTTAATCCATTTTGGAATAAGGCTTTAATATTACTAATAATATTTATATTTAATACTATCCGGATGCACTGTATATAAGCACATCTATAACAATAAATATAACTAGCATCAAGAAAACAATATCAATAACTAGCGCACATCAAGGCTGATAACTACCCCACACTCCAAGAACAATACCTTTATAAACATACACACCAAGAATGATAAATATATTCACACCATTATACGTATAATATTATTATATAAGTGCGCACACCAAGTTATTGCGATATTTACATGACAAAAACCATTCGTCATTTCACAGCCAAAAGACACTTGAATTACTACCAGAAAAATTTATATTTTATTTTTTACTATTATACAAAACGACTTTTTACTTCTTAATAAATTTAATCATATTATTTTCTATTTAAACAAATGGCATTGAGTAATTTGTATATAGCAGGTTTGAAAAAATTTAACATGTTGATGATTCAGAGGCCTTTGGGTTTATAGGGTTAAAATGATCTAACAGTGTGGTGATTCCTAAAAATGTTATATTGTTCATAAATATTAATGTTTTGCTCTGAGCAGCAGTCACTGTACTAGCAGTTACTGTAAACCAGGCCATGAAATGAGGTCAGGTCGACACTGCTTTGTGTATATATATATAAGTGTGCATGTGAGTGATAAGCCCTTTCACTTGTGTTTGGAAACCAAGGTCAGGTTATTTGGCCACTCTAGAAGTCCCTGCAGGAGTTTCCCATTTTCAGTCAACTGCATAGACATCAGTGGATCTAATAGTAACTTAAACATAACAATAACTCAAGGCCATGCATTATATAGATTTTTTCCTCAAGTCAGGGTGTTTTCAAACCTTGTATAATGTATTTTTAAGGCTCAAAGAGTGCTATTCTATTGAGCCACACTGATTACTTGGTCACTCTGTGCTGCATCTTTATATTCTTAAAGAACTGAAGGTTTCAAGATTTCTGTGATTTTTCAAGTGGTCAAGAGCAGATCGTTGTTATCATCAATTATCAAAAGTGGTACCATTATCAGATTCAATCTAGTCACAAACTATTTTTTATAATATATATATATATATATATATATATATATATATATATATATATATATATATATATATATATATATATATATATATATATATATATATACACACACACACATGTTTGTTTTTGTGAAAAGTGGGGACATTACATAGGTTTCCATTCATTTTATGCAGCCCAAACCGTATATTATATTGCCCTCACCCCACCCCACTCCTAAACCCAACCACCACAGGAGACTGTGTGCAGCTTTACTCTCTGATTAAACTCATTCTGTAGGATTTATAAGCATTTTGAGAAATGAGGACGTCACCAATGTCCTCATATTTCACCTCCTTTTTGTAATACCTGTGTCATACCCATGTCATTATACAGATTTGTGTCCTGATATGTCACAAAAACACGTACACACACACACACACACACATACATACATACATATATATATATATATACATATATATACATATATATATATATATATATATATATATATATATATATATATATATATATATATATATATATATATAATATGTATGATAGAACACCGTGTTTCTCAACCATGTTCTCGGAGGACCACCAGCTCTGCACATTTTCCATGTCTAAGAGACAAAAAAGACATTCGAAACATGCACTGTTGGTGGTACTTCAGGAACGTGGTTGAGAAACACTAATATAACATGACCTGAACAGGGTGCGGGATTGTTTTGTGCTCCATTCTGAATGTCTACATTGAATTTAATTTAATAAAAAATCAAATAAATATTTTTCTGACAAAGCATACTTTGTGCTCAGTACACATATTCTGTGGAAGGTGTAGGACCAAGACATGTTTTTCCAATCAAAATGTTAGGTTCAAACATTATGATACGACCTTACCTATCTGAGAGTAACATACCTTGGAATGTCACGATTGACCAATCAGACTCAAGTATTCCAGAGACCCGTGTAATAATGCAAAAGATGCTTATTCCACAATAATAAGTAATAGTAGCACGAAAATATACTAGTACAATTTAGCGATTCAATAATAAAAATTCCATGTGCTTGCCTTAGGAACATTTCTTTTCAGAAGTGTATTTAAAATAATTATAAATCGTCACCTTAGAATTATAAGGTTTTATCTGACATTTTTGTAAAATTTGAGTTATTCACATATTCACATTAAATGACATCTTATTTACTTTGGGATTTTATTTATTTATTTATTTTTGTAAGCTGTTTACATTTTAAAACTTTTCATTTAAAATTTTTTTTAAAATTTTATCTAAGTCGAACTCCTGGCTCTATAAGATTCTTTCTGTGAGGCAATCAGCATTTCAAGGACCAATCAGAATCAGCCATCTTTGTCATTTTGCCGGACTGCTCCATTGACAGCAGGCAAGACCAGAAAGAAACACAAAATCTCTAAATAATCACAAAATCAACCAAATAATTCCACGCCACACAAAATTAAGAAGAAATCTGAAACTGAAAAGCTGTGTGTAAATGTGATGATTTAGAAGCTTTTTTTGACATTGAGATGAAATTGAGATGTTTAATTTTACATTGTTGAAAACAGTTACTAAAAAAGTAATATGAATATGAAATATTTTTATTTGTCTATATATAGTCAGTAAAACAGTTTTCAGTGTTTATTAAATTTGTTTTCTTGCAAGTCTTTAAATTTGAAATTAGGCTTTGAAAAGCAAATACTTTATTAAATTCATGACGCATATAATTCAGTAGTTCATATAAAGCATATAATTCAATAAAGATTACCATACTAATTAAATAAAATTAACAGCTGTACTGGATAAAATATTTAACACAGTCTTGTGTCTTAATTTGTACAAAAAATATTATTCTAAAACATTAAATAAGTGTTGCAGAAAGCAAAAATGTAACTTTCTCAAGCATTGTTACAAGACCATTTTTTATCTTATGTGATTGTATTTCTCGAAAAAATAATGCTTCAATTTATAATTTGCCAGATAGAGCTTTGTAATTTCAAGAGGAAAATGACAGAATAAGAAGCTTCTATCTGCAATTACTGTGGTATTTTTCTTACCCCAATTAGCAAAATTAATTGCATTTTGATAATTAACATTTAGAGTACATTTAGGGTCTCTGTTATGTTAATGGACAGTTGAAGTCAGAATTACTAACCTCCCTGACTTATTAGTGCCCCTGTTTATTTTTTTTCCCAATTTCTGTTTAATGAAGGGAAGATTGTTTCAGCACATTTCTAAGCATAATAGTTTTAGAAACATATTTCTAATAACTGATTTATTTTATCTTTGTCATGATGACAGTAAATAACATTTTAGTAGATATTTTTCAAGACACTTCTTTACAGCTTAAAGTGACATTTAAAGGCTTAACTAGGTTAATAAAGTGAACTAGGCTATAGGGTAATTAGGCAAGTTATTGTATAACAATGGTTTGTTCTGTAGATTATCGAAAAAAATAGCTTAAAGGGGCTAATAATTTTGTCCCAAAATTGGTTTGTAAAAAATTAAAAACTGCTTTT